CAGGAGCAACACAACTGGATTCGTGTTATGAGGTTATCGGTGGAGCCAACAAATAACCAAATGCACTTACTTTTATTGACGTTTCGGTTTCAAACAACCTTCGTCAGAATAGAATTACAAGTTAAAATATAAATATACGTCTCAAATGCACATATCTTAAACTTGTCAGTATGTTCTATTCTGACGAATGTTGTTTGAAACCGAAACGTCAATAAAAGTAAGTGCATTTAGTTATTTGTTGGCTCCACCGATAACCTCATAACACAAATATGTCCCTAAATAATCAACAACTGGATTCCTTAGCGAAACAAAATTGCCTGAACCGTACCAGTGACAAAGACAGGTTCAGTATAGGATCAAGAACAGAATTAGACCAGAATTGGACCAGGATTGGACCGAGACCGGAACTGAACAGGCTCCGGACCAGAATCGGACCAGGACCAGGACCAGAAGCGGACCAAACATGTACCGACGGTATCTGTCGGAGACCGGGTCGGCCAGGTGAGCCACGTCCCGGTCGAACATCCTACACAATTCAGTTTATTGGGGTTAGGAGGCGTAAATACTAAATATAACTGAAGCTTATTGTTGATCACTGTTCAATGGTGTCGTGGACTCGTGGTTATATCTAACCAGCGGCAATAATATATTATGGTCGGTTTGAGTCTTGAAGTTTGCACTAACACTCTACCATACATAAATGTCCCTGTTTAGTGTGTTTACCGACGCAGATTTGATTGGCTCCAGCTTGAATTGGTACTTACCTCACCATACATTAACTGGACCAATTTTAGAATAATCGAGACCAACACCAAAATGCATTAATTTCATGTCTTTTTTATATGCCATCAGCATTTGCATCGCACCGTGGCGACCGGCTGAAATCGCTCACGGATGTTTGATTATTTCGTAATTCAGCAATCAACAGCAATAGCAACGTCATCGAGCTCGATAATTGAATTGCGCTCGCTCTGGAAACAAATGTAGGTTAACAATGCCACATGTGTCGCTAAATGTGACTCGTCATTGCCTTGCTCAATCACTAATTAGTTCATGTTTTTGCTGCCTCAAGACTGTGACAATTATCCTATCCTTCTTATCCTTTGTACCTGAGTCATTTTCGCTATAAATCGTTGATTCATGCAGACAATTATCTTTGAAGGTCGTTTTAGTACGTGATGAATCAGAAGTTTCGGTAAGTGCCACAGAGGTCGTTTGAACCGTTAGGTAGACTGTGTCTGTCCTGACGTGTTGCCATATATGTTTGATTCTCATATCACATATGATGTTTCGGGGTCGCCATCGGATAGAGTAACGACAAATGTAGGTATCCGCCAAGTAAGCGTCGCAAGGCGCTGCCAACAACGGTAAATGCGTATCACCATTCACTACTTTCAAACTTGTTGCATTATTATTCGTGATGTTGATGGGATATGCATATAAAAGAAAAGCCGCAATCTACATGTAGTGTTCCGGAAACAGTGCATTGTTTGCGGGATGGATGCGCCGAACGGTGGCAGAATGACTTGACGGGTAGGAGGGAAATTCGCTTCTAAAACTTCTGTATAGTCGACTCTTTCTTGTGCTGAAGTGATTACCTAATCTAATGTTGCCACTTGCCTTTTTCGTAAAAGTATAAGAGTGCTGCATGTCTATTAGGACCTAATGAGCATCACAAACGAGACATTCATTCCTGGTAGATGGTGAATGACAGATGATGATGGTAGCATTGGCGCTATTTTATTCTGTGGAATATCACTCGAACTTCCTTGAAATGTTCTGCTTTTGACAAAGGGCAAAAAATCGCACATTCACCATTCGAAGCCCGTTGGGATAAGAAATGTTTCGGGTTTAGGGAAATTGCCTACGTTCGTTGTTCCAGATCGTTTACCTTCTTCACCCTCAAAGAACTTCAAACTAACGTCACCTTTACCGTCAGCCTTGATGGTACTGCAAGTTTCGGGATTTATAGCTGACATTATCGATGCAGGTAATTTGCCACACGATTGAAGTTAAGGATGATAAATGCTTCGTTGCTTTAGGTATGCTTAGGCCTTAGCAGAAGCCCAAAGCCTTGAAACATGTTATTTTTTTTCCAGAAAGTAACGCTTATTGTTTTGTTGTGTATGTTTTAGGGACGATACTATACATCTCGTGCGATATAATGTGGATAAATGTCGGAAACCCGGCACCGTTTCCCAGCCTAACTGGCCTCTTTCGACATTATGGGGTCCGGGGATCATAGCATTGACTGCCTTTTGACATATATTTTGCCCCAAAGTCACACTTAACTTTGATCCAGGTCCTTTTGTCCAGTGGCGGATCCAGGGGGGGGGGGCTGCGGGGGCTGGCAGCCCCCACCCAAGGAAAACTGGCGCCAGTGCGCCGAAGGCGCAGTGGCGCCAATTTTCAATTCGCAACTCATCGGAGTGCCGCATACTAGGACTAGGATGCAAAAATCAGTCGAATAACGTCGTTTCAGTACGCTCCGCACCGATATTTCCAATCGTGTGGTGTCACTGTACATACTGATCCTGGGCGCCTCTTGTCAGGGCCACTGGGCGCCAATATTTCAGCGCCAATACGATGCGACTATGGCGCCCATCCGGGGCGTGGCGCCCAATTATGACCTGCAGCCCCTCCCCAGTGAAAATCCTGGATCCGCCACTGCTTTTGTCACTAAATTTGCACAGGGGCGAAATACCATTTATACCCTGCAACATTGTTGTTTCTCAGTGCGTTACATTCCGATCGCCAGGATGTCCTATTTGTCATCTCCACTGACTGGGAGCGCCATTGAAGTGTCTGGCCGGCCCGCGAGGGATAGCCTTATAACTGACCGAGGCCGAATGCTGTAGTGGACACTGACGACACTCTGCAGTGCCCAGTGACCACTGACCACCCCACCGCGCCGGCGACCGTCTCTGCAGTCTGCCGCTGCGGCGCACCACTGATGCGCCGGTCGCTTGTCGGTGGCTCTGTAATGGTCCGAAAGACCTTGCTTCAAACAAAATAAGCAAACAAAGAGAAATGAACACTGGTATGTAGCCTGTAGGTAGACGTCTTGCGTTAGAAGCGTTAGAAGTGAATATCAGCTCTGCTCCCTTGATAGCTCATAGCGACATCTGTCTTCCAGCCAGTCTCCCAGAAACCACTACTTCCTTGCTCGCCTCATAGGTGGCAGAGCGTCCTCACGATCCGTCCCTCCCCTGCCCATTCGCTGTGAAGCGTAAACTCGCGCGTCCGTCGCGTCCACGTCGCGATGTCGGTCCCCCAGCCTGTCTTTCGTGTGACCCCTGTGGCGTACCATGCCGGTGAGCCGGCGGGAGACGTTCTTGGCCGGTTTGGTGGTGGGACTCTCCGTGGCACTGTATTCGGCATGGAACCCGCCCCCAGCTGGACAGAGGTGAGGCGCCGGCGGCGTTCAAGGTCACGCGTCGCGTGGGTGCTGCCGGCAGCGTGAGGGGAGGGGAAGGTGAGGGGTCAGCGATTGAGTGCGGCTGGCCTGATACCGTTGATACATCAGATTGTTGGATGAAGCCGTGGGGATTTGAATTTGGATGCGAGGTGGGACGTAACGCTGGGCTTGGTCACGTTTCCCATGCGAACAGTTCGCGAGCGTTCATGAACTGTTCGCCAACATGATGGGTGGAACTGGATACAGTGGCGGATCCAGCTCAGTTTTTTTTTTGGGGGGGGGGGGGGGCAAACCATAACAATTTATCGATTCTTTCCATGCCTCGTCCATAGGCGTAATGTTAAGCCGTTTGGGAGGGGCAAATGCCCATTTTGCCCCCCCCCCCTGGATCCGCCACTGGGTGGATGAAACCCCTCCCTAGCCGTTTGGCGTTTTGTTCCTAATCTTGCGGAAAAAGCGAGCGTGTGCGTCGTTACAACCGATTTTGCTTATGTCTTATGCCAGCTGCTCACCCCTGAGATCAGGTCACAGGTCAAGTGTCCCAAAGTAGGTGTTTGGTTTTTGGTAAATAACTTCGCCACACACGGTGGATGAGCCGCGATTGTTGCACCATCGTACTCTTCGTGGCCAGGCGCGTCGAACGATATGATTTTTATTTGGGCTAGGTCGTTGACCTCGGGTCAAGGCCAGGCCAAAGCCACTCGGGTCACATTGTTGTTTGGAGGATGTCATGCTGCATATCATTCGATGCCTTGATGGCATTTCTTTCTGAGTCAATTGATGACTCAGCCGATTCGCTTGCTCAATTTGATCGGGAGTTATCAGCGGAAAACTCCGATTGCACCAAACAACCTTAGCACAATTTAAGCTTCAGCGTTGCAAAAATCGTCATCAATTACGATTCCATGTGCTTGAGATATGATTGGTGCGTTTTCACCTATAAAGCGTGCCTGCAACCGTGTGTGTCACTATTCTATTTGAGATTAATAACGCGAAAGATATAAGAAATAATGACTTGCTCATGAACGCTCATGAACGTTCACGAACTGTTCGTGAGCTGAGAATTGTTCGTGAACATGTGACCTTGAATGAAGGAATTCGTAAGCTATCAAATAAACAAACAACCAAATGTTCACGAACTGCTCACGGACAAATATACAAGCACCCAACCCTGTTGTAATTATAAATTTATCGCGCCCCGCTGCAGGCTCCTGCACTCTCATTTTCTATGCCCAAGGTATAGGTATAGATATACCTATGCCATTACTTGCCTTCGGCTGCGTCTTCGTCAAAACAGCCCAGATTCGGGGCGCCTGGGATCCACTGAAACTCGAACGTTAGGTAGACAGCCCTTGGGATGGGGGAACGTAGCCCATTCGGCGTCCTCGTCACTGCCGTTTGACTACAGAGGTCATCAAAGGTCACGTTGACGTCTTTCATACGTAGCAGAATTTAGCCCAACAACTGAGCTATTATAGAACGTTGAAACTGGCACCAAACGACTTATTCTCCAATATCAAAGGTTCCATATTTTGTCATTCACGATCATAGCTTATCGATTTTCTGGCAAGCAAAATGTGACATTTATCGGCGCGATGCGTACGTGAAGCATGCCAACATCATTCTCAAAACCCGTCACGTTAAATCTAAAGTAGTGTAGCTAAATCACAAGTTTATCCGTTCGCAAAATTGTTGATGCAGGAGTTTGACTTCTGCGACGCCTTAGGTATGTGGGTTCTCATTATTCCATGTTTGCCGTCTATGCACACCTGGCCATGTGAACGAAGTCTGCCCCAAGCGCCGCAGGCACACGAATATCGAACCTTGGGCTTATCTGATCTCGATATTGCAATATCTGACTAGCCAGTTCAAATGTCTGATCCTCGCAAGATGGGCACGAGGATGTCGTCCATCATAGATGAAATGCCTGGCGACTACACATATCAGTGAGTAAAGTCACCTTTTTCAAATCAAAGCACAGTTCAAAATGTCAGGTAATGAAAACTCAAAACGACTTGCCAGGATTCTGACATTGCAAGGGCGGCAGTCGTTTCCAATTTGTCGTTAAAGACAATCCAACCACTTTCTGTTGTTAGTAACCAGCTGTTGTGTTGTCCGAGTAAACGCAGAGGAAATTCCCCCGCCGAGCCCGACTGGATGGCTGCACCCGTTCCGGATTGCACCACTCCATACTGACTGAGGTGTGCCGTTTTTTACTACCCGCCAGTAAACTGGATAATGAGTGGGAACCTGTCGGGTCTTTACCGTCACCCTGCCCCTGAAGTACCCACTGGGAGTGCCTCTCCGTCAGCTTGCTAGGGTGTGGTCGTGGCTCTCCCTGCCTCGCCCGTCGAGGTCGTGACCCGAGCGGCACTGGGTCACGCCTGTGTGGGGAGCCGGGATGTGTAACTGTAGACCCGCGTATGTGGCTGCCCCTGAGCCGCGCCCTTGGCACGGTGTGTGCCTTGTGCGTGTGCCCTGCTGAGCTGTGGGACTGCCTGGACGGTCAAGGTCACTCCGAGGGCGGGGCTGGGAGCGTGTGTGTGTGGGGGGGGGGAGAGGGAATTCTCTGGGACGGGAGGGATGTCCGCTGGCCACCGGAACTGGTGCGCTACCGCAGAGGAAGGAGATAGTGCAGGACTGAGCCGCCCCTCGGCGGTCCGGGCAGTCGAAGGGCGGCTGTAGGAACAGGGCTCAGCACTAGATCCTGTGTGGTGTAGAACGCCAGAACGTCACTGCTTTAGCCATATAAATCTATCCTCTCGGGCCAACTGGTCGATAACTACTTGACTAAGTTGTGCGAATGCTGGGTTTTGGTTACCGGTCCGTAACCCCATCACCCTATAGCCTCATAGCCTGGTTATCAAGGTTACTGTGTTGTCTTTTATGCATTTCTTGGTTTAGAAGGCTAAATTAAAAAATATAAACTTTACCCATCACAATACAATACAATACAATACAATACAATACAATACAATACAATACAATACAATACAATACAATACAATACAATACAATGCAATATCAAGCTGAGATTTGGTGAGCCACTTTGCTTACACAAGCTCCGGCTGATTGACCTTTCTTGATCTCTGAAGGTCAAAGTGCATGGGGCTTCATTTTAATTGATGGAGCCTCAGCTTTCACATCTATTTTTTTTTTTGTAGTCAAGATGTTGTCAAGACGTTTCGCCGCTCTGTGTCTCGAATCTTGCTGAATCGCTACTGCTTTTGGGATAAACTTACGATCTTTTGTCACGTAATCCCGCACGGGCGGCCAGCACCGGTGGGACGGTGGCGCCACCGTCGTCAGGTGGGACCACCATCGGCCCACCGGGGGTGATGTCATCAGTGTGGTGACGTCATCCACGGCGGGGGCGGGGCCTGGGTCGTCGGTTTCGACGCGGGCGCCGTCGGAGGCGGGTCGGGGTAGTCGGTGTAAGAGGAGGGAGGACGGAAGGTCGGCTGAAGGTGGCCCAGAGTACCAGTGACGTGTGTCAGGCCTGTGGGTATACGTGAGAAGGTATGTCATACCCGTAATGCGTCAAGGTGTCTAAGCATTGTACTGTTTCATTATCCTGGTGTGAGGCAGATCTGTTGTTGGTGTACTATGCTCGGCGTCTGTGATAGTCTACTAAACTGCTGAGTCATTCATAGTGCGAGTTTTTCTCGAGACGTTGTTGGCACTGGATCCGAATCGCGGCCGACAGTGGTTGGATGGCGCGGCTGCGATGGCATCGGTACATGCCCTCTACTTGTGGCACTGGGCGAGTTCATTTACATAAAGGCCGGCAGTTAGTGCTAGTCGTGCCGTAGTTCATACTTTTGGGTGTTATAACGGCCTGTTTTGGACTCTTACCGTATTGGTGCATAAAACATCACTGGGTCACTCAGCTGCATCTGTTAAGAACAAACGAAGCACATTTGACATTTCAATGCATTGACAAAAAGGCGAAGAATATCGATCAAAGTTACTTTTTAACTATTAAAATGAATACGTTACACTCCGAAGTAGGTAACAGTGCTCGGGCATGTAGTGCATCCGCTGTTTTATCAGGTGCACTTTGGGATTTCACCTGCGTTTCCCCCTATCGGCTTACCTTCTTGATACACCTTTATGGGAAGTTGCACCGCAGTGATTCATCGGCATACATAGTTGACTTCGGTGACCATTGTTTCTATACTTCATGCTACAAACCACAGCTGTCAGCGGTTCGGCGTCGAACCTTCTCTAGTCAGCCTCCTTCTTGCGATTGGTTGACCTCCTCGCTTGCTGTTCGGGCCGGTATTTTGACCAGCAAACATTGCTCCGGTCGATATCTTTGATCGTTACCGGTATGTGATTTGTGGTATATGGATAAAACGCTCCCGCAACCGTCGAACTTACCTACTGGCTACTTCCCTTCTGAATTCGGAGTAGCGGTTACCATTACTCGTTTTTTTTTGTCACCCTCTCCCCCTCCCCGCCCAGCCATTGCTCCCCAAATCCCCTCCCCACCTTACAAAGGCATTCTCATGACTTAGTCTGGAACATAAAACCATTATTCAATCAGGTGTCCCAGGTCGGTGCCAGTTTTCCCAGCTCCCATTATCCACACTGCGGCGCCAGCCGGTCTGCTTCTCCGTGAGCTCATTCCTGCACCGTGACTTTCCCGGCCGGACGGTGACGTCACGTCTCTGGGGCGGCCGGCCGGCGAGCCTGGGGGGCCGGGAGGGCGCCTATCGCGGCTCCGTGGCGAACGGGCCCGGCCGACGGCTCATTCTGCTCTGTGATCTGCTGAGGTACGGGTGAGCCGACTGGGCCGGTCGAGTGCCATTGGTTGTAGTCGGCTGGTGACAGGTGCTGTGTCGGATCTGAGTGTCAACTGCGTCCCTGGTTGTTTGTCTGTTCCACAGCTGGCTGCTTTTCTCGTGTTTATAGTGTTCCCGATGTGTTATATCGATTGAGTTATAGGGCTGCTTCGTGTTTTCATGCACTTGTTTGCGCTAGGCCGCTTCGTCCCGCGGCATTGATTTACGGCGGTCAGTTGTTGCAACTTGACATCATGACCTTGGTTCGCCGGCTACCGGCCGGTGGTTATTTCCATCCCGGGAGGACGCGAACTTGGGAGACAGCCAACACGAGTAGGGTGCAGTGTGCACGGAACAGTGAATTGTTCTCGGCAGTGTAAACTGTAGATATCCTTTTCAGCAGCATTTCAGTTTTGTTCTTCTGTCGCGCTGCAATGAATGAAATTAAAAAGGTGCAACAGCGAGCGGCCATGAAATATCAATGACAAACACTCAGAGGGTGTTGCAAGATTTACTAACAGTCGCAGTTGTAGCAGTGATAGAGTAAACATGCATGGTGTCTGTGTCGCAACATGCAAGCCTTCCGTAAGCTCGCGCCTGTTAACGTCACCGTTCGCCACCAGGCCGTAGCAAAGCACCAGCGAATCGCTGCTATCGCCCCCCGGTATCCGTTTAGAACCAAAAACCGTCCACGGCTGTGTTTCCAAGACTGTTCCCCGCGATAACGCACTCCCATCCGTGCCCACGCAGTATGTCCTGTAACACGACTGTTAACGCAGGGTTTCTTGCAGTGTCTCAGTGTTGCCTTGCTGGTAGCCAACCGCTCACCGCGGCCCGCAGTGACCGTACAATGACCTGACGTGTTCCCTATCCCACAGGTCGAGCGGAGGTGCTGTTAACGGACGCGTGTCGGGTACCACACCAGTCAGAGACATGTCTCAGGAGGTCACTCTGGATCGGCTGGGCCAGCGGCCCTTCCAAACCGCCTCTGGCGAAGCCATGTGCTCGAGCATGGTGCGCGGCATTGACCACCTGCGGGACCCACGGCTCAACAAGGTGAGTTCACACGGCAGCGGACGGCTTGTCGATCCGTATCTATAGGAGAGTGATTGACATTATATTTTTAGCTCGTCTACATAGCTCGCCTTTTTTGGAGGGGGCAATGCCGGCTGTGTTCTGCCTCTGAAACATTGTTTTCGCGTTGTTCCGAAAGTCACCATGACTACGTCTCTGAGCAAGGCCACCAGCGGTTGGTAAATACGAGTATTTACGGAGCGACTGTGGTCCATGGGCTTCGCGCTACGTCAGCATCTGGCGTAATTGATTTCCTTTTCGTCCCGAACTCAGCGCAGTGACTGATGTTACCAAGGCCCATGGCGGAGATGTAGATAAGATATTTTTCCGGTTCCCTTCGCTATTGAAATGACATTTTTAATGTCGTCATGCACTATGAAATAAGAACTGTTTGAACCCCTTTTCGACCACGAAAGCTCTGGGATAGTCCGTGACTTACAGCCATCGACTTTTTAGCTGGGTTTCTACATATTTTAATAGGTAACGGGAATTCGTTGGAAAGCGAGCCCCCATGCAATAATTATGGAAATTAATTAGTAAAACGCGCCATGTCAGGCTGTGCCTTGATCACGCCGACCTGCCGCGGTCCCACACCGAACCCACTGCTATGTATAACCCGGCCGGGCTACATCCGTGCACCAGGGGTCGGTCGGTCAAGGTGGCAGTAAGTCGCAAGGTGTGCTGGTTTTTGCACCCATTTGGTTTGTCTACTCGTCAGGGCAAGGGTCAGAAGTGATATACGACACAGCGGGTATGTGCCGTGTGCCTACTGAGGTGAAATCCGGTTTGAAGTCCGGGAGCATCCATGTGTTTCGAGAGTGTGTGAATGCGATTTCAGTAATGAAAAAAGACATTGCGGGGTACAAATAAGGATGCCTGCTGCGAGCCCTTACTTCGATAAACTCAGTGAACAAACTTATCAAAAATTGACGTTATTAATGCAGACTTTTGGCCCGAGTAGGTACTTTTAGATTGAAATTACTCGAAGCAGACCGAATTCGCTCTGAGGAGACCGAACTACTGAAGAGACGCGAGCCGTGTACTCAATAACCCCGCCCAGCCCTGCGTCCGGTAGGCCTTGCTCTCCTGACCCTGCCCTGCTCCTGTCCTTCGAGTACTGTTATCTAGTACCTACCGTCCATAAGTGTCATGCTTTGATAAAGACCGGACTGCTGTCGTGCGGTAGATTTGTTATCGCTCACAGCTCTGGGTCCATTAATATCGAGACATTGCATCATACACCGGCAGTCCACAATGCCCAGCGCTTAGTAACTAGGGAGACTGATCCCATGAGTATTGTGTGTGACGTTGGCAATAGCGATCAATATGCTGTCATGACAACCGAGTCATACGGTATTGTTGATTGATATTTGGTTTAGTTCTCGCTTATGTGTATTCTTTTATTTAGTTTAAAGAAAAATGTGGGCTGGCATTGTGATGAAAATTATTTATGTACTTTTTCTTTTTTAGGGCGGGCATTTGTCGTTTTTCACTGACACTCGCGCACACTGCCGTCATTCCGCCAATTTGCCCTCGAGTCGCCCTCCTATATTCTGCTTACGCGACAGTATCTGACCCAGTGCCTCCTTCTTAGTTTGGTTTTAAATCTTTCCTGACGCTGTCCCGATAAACAGTCGATGGCCCTTGTCTGCTGACGACGCTTGCGTCTGGTGAGGGTGGATTCGATCGAGAGCAGGCCACCGGGGCAGAAGGACAAGGTCGGTCACACCCCTGGCAGAACGGGAGGCGTCGAGGGGTGTGTCGCGGTGGAAACCACGCCTTCACGCTATTCACTTGGCATTTCTGGATTCTGCACCGTAGGTACGGGCGAAAACTTAGGCATTACGGCGATTGTTCTACATAGTTATGCGAATATGATATAGCATATGACGAAGCCATATCTGGACGTGGGCACGGACAGTTTCCGCTTTCACCATTCATTATTGGGTATCAAGATCTGCGCCTGTTTGTCGTTTACCGGCGCCGTTTCCCGTTCCCAGAGTGCCTGTAGCGGTAAGAGGGAGGTAGGAAATTTACCGAGGGGGAGGGACTGCCGCGCGGCAACGGGGCTGATGCATAGCGTCACCGGGGATTATGTAAGGAGCAGCCACGGAGGGCTTGGAACAGCCGTGTTGACTCAGTGCAACCAAGGTCGCGGCGCTGACGGCCATGCCAGCGGAACGCTACGTAGCAGCCTCCTACCTGGGAAAAGGGAAGGAGGGACCCAATGTCCCAAGGAAATTCAGTTTCAGTGCCGCAGATCCGATACATTTCATTGCTGTTTCGTCATCAGTGGTGTTACAACTGTTGAAATATCACGGCCATTTAATTAATGGGTAAAACGCCATGTCAGTATCGCTAAGCGCGACACCAAAGTGCTGCTCTGGCACCTGTGCCGTTTCAGACCGTCTCCGGGGGTGTCCGGTTTACCAGCTGTATGATGACGGGTGCCTATTAGTCGATAGACCGGACAAATACTGCTGCTGTCCGGTTAGATATAAAAGGTTTATCCTGGTCCGGCCGATCTGACCGATATTTGGCGCCGGTTATTCGTACCGACTGTCCAATGTCCATACCTGTCACTTGTAAGTCGGCTTTTGGTGTGATTTTCTCATAACCAGCCATATACCTAAGATTCGGAATATTTTCTGCTTGCACACTCTATTGAAAATTCAGTCTCCACTCTCCTTATTGTGAATTCATTGAGGCGGCATATATTCAGAGAGGGTGGCTCAAAGTAAGCTTAGTTATCTCTGACTGCTTAGGAACAGACAGTTATAATGTCCCGCTGTTCCACGTGGCGAACTTCTTGGAACCGCTAGCATAGCGTTTCTGCAAAGACGGTCTTTGTAGTGAGGTCGGATCCGGGGCAAAAGGTTCGTGTGTCAGAGACGCCATGGGGCCGCCAGGGCGTACCTTTAGCGCCATTCAAGTGCATGAATACAGAAGAGGATAAAAATATTTCAAGCTTGTTCCAAAAAGATGACAATTTATTTTGAAACTTGGCATGCAGCGACTGAAGGGCCAAGGCGGTTGCGGGAAGGAGACAAAATTAGTTGGTCCTATCCTATCTGCATGCGATTGCACGAAAGAACGATGTTAAGTGACACTTTCCCATCCCTTCAAAAATGAAGCATCGATACAGTGTGCTGAAGCTTCGTTTGAGTTTTATTGAAGCTTCGTATGAGTTACACTTGTGTTGGCGTTAGCCACCGTGGCTCAGCCACGAATGCTCACAGCTCACAGTCTGCAACTCTGCCGCTCGCGATGTCCGTCCGACGGGGGCGGAATCCGCCGAACCCAGCCAGTTCCGCTTCCTATCTCTACCGTCCGCTCTGCGGTCCGTTCGCGGTACAGTGACGTCATAGCGTACTGGTGATGACGTCATACGCTAAACGGACTCTCCCAAGGGTAACTACCACCGCCATGTACTCCGCTCTGACAAGGAAGCGCGTTTCACAACGTCAAGGCCTGTGTGCTACCTGTACTCAGCTGGGCAAACCATACCGTCATGATGACGCCTGGGTGTGGCGTCATCGACGAGTCATCACGCGTCATCGCGGTCCCTTCGTCGTGGTGACGGGCAGTTAACGCACTTAGGCGTCATCAGTGAAAACTATTGACTTTCGTCAGCCGGTACCTACTGGAGTGTCACGCACAATGACTCGGAATATATGAGGGATATAATTTGCATATCTTATCAAGTCTCTGGGTTTTACAAAAGTGACTGCTTCTGGGCGCCAACTAGCAGTCCTTTCAGCCTTGTCTGAATGGCCAACGAGTTAACGTGCTATTCATTGATTCGCTTATTTGAATTTTTATTTACTGCTTTATACCGATTCGCAATTATAGTGTTCTCGCTTGAACTACAGCCGTAAGCCTGAACATAATAAGAGCGTCTTGTAAGAAGCAGGCTGAGCTAGAATATCTGTAAGAATCTTTGAAATGCCTAACAAGAACACCACGCGTTATGTACCGTGGCATCTCGAGGACATCCTTTTAATCGGCACCGTTTTGAACCGATTTATCGCACCCACATGTACATCTTACCTGATGCTTATCTATCCGCATACTGCGGTTGCGAATTTCCATTTTAGGTGATTATGAGTGAATAGATGGCCGTTAATAACTAATGACGACGAAGGCCCGCGTAAAACCCCCGCGACTTCAGCGTTAGCTTAGCGGTATATTTTCTACAAAATCGCTGCACCGACCGGCTACGTTACCGGCTGTGGAAACGGTGCTGATAGGTAGGTACTGAGTTGATTTTAGTAGGTATTCTTCATTAATAGTCCAGCCCAGTCGACTTTGGCTCAAACATGGGTGATGTCAGCGCCAGCGTTGACGACTCAGAGACCGACCGACCAATGCTGGCATGGGGTTCAGCGTCTCAGTGCTGGCGTGCTGGGACCGGGCCGGATGCCAGACAGTGAGCGTCGACCGCCTCTGACTGTGCCAACCGGCCCAACGTCCGACCGACCGACCTACGACCGACCCACCGACCGACGACCGACCGACCGACCGACGACCGACCGGCCAGACTGGCTGTCAGTTGGCACGGCCCACAAACGAGCTGCAGTTGACAGGAACGACACGATGTCGCAGGCACTGAGCGGGGATTTCCATGGGGGTAGACCGAGAAACTATCCAAAAACCGATAAAATTGATAGCCATTTCGTGGAGCATCGACAAGGTATTGTCACAAATAACGTGGGATAACTAACGAATTTAAATACTAGGCAGTCGGCACCATGATGGGATCTCTGACGGCTTTAGCAATACCTACCACACCCCTCAAGCGGTGATGGCGGCTGGGCGGGTGACATACGCCTTACGAGTCTGGTCTTGACAGCCTTGGAGGGATGCCAGTAGGTTTGGCAGGCTGTAACTAAACACAGCAGTAAACAAATAAGGGATGATTACTTGGGGATAAACACTGGCGGATCCAAAAAGGCGGTCTTTGATGCTCCGGGAGGGGGCGAGGCATAGAAGTTTTTCAGGCTTCTCCAAATTCAGAACTATACTCGGATGTAATATCAGCTTCTCAGCGACGCATATTGCATGCACCAATTAAATTCCTGCACAACGGCGCTGTCGGCTGCGAAAACAGCTCATATGCTCGCCTTGTTTTCGCCGTAAGTGCGTTCAATCCCCATCTCACTGGCGCGATATTTCCCTATAGCCGGTCCTCCAAAACAGCCTCGTGTGCGTGCCTCGTGTGCCGCCGGGCTCGCCCGGCTGTGGTGACGGTCAGTCACGAGCGTCACGGTGACGTCACGACTCGTGATGGGCGTGACGCTGTTCGTGATGCCGCCGACCGTGACAACGTGACGTCATAGACCTGACGCCGTGATCGGCACCGTTATGCACCTGGCCGCCGGATAAAATAAAAACATGTAGACCGTACATGGCTTACATGTGGATACATGTGACTTTACCAACATCTTGTGTAGTGCACAGATAACATGATTCATCTTTTCTGTGATACCTGCAATAGGAATTTTTTAGTAGAAACCCGCTGCATCCGCAGCATTACAAACTTTGCCATTTCCTACCACCTATACCCGTTGATTTACATGCAAAGCTGGTCGGCATCGTATTCGTTTGTGCGACCGTATTATCGCAAATTCAACGTTGTGAATTCATCAGCCTCGTGACTCGACTCCGACAGACTCACTCACGAGTCATGACTTCGGTTCTTTACCTACCCATGTTTCTGTAACCCCCACCGTTTCTGACCTGGTATAATCTCCGGTCGGCAGGGCATGGCGTTCACTCTGGAGGAGCGACAGCGGCTCGGCATCCACGGCCTGCTGCCGCCGCGCTTCAAGACCCAGGAGCAGCAGGTGGCTCTCTGTATGCGTAACGTGGCGCGGTACGACGAGAACCTCAACAAGTACATCTACCTGATGGGACTGCAGGTGAGCCACGGAAGACCAGTCATTCATTTGTTCATTTGTTCATGCATTCATTCATTCATTCATTCATTCATTCATTCATTCATTCATTCATTCATTCATTCAGCATTCGTTCGTTCGTTCGTTCGTTCGTTCGTTCGTTCGTTCGTTCATTCATTCATTCATTCATTCATTCATTCATTCATTCATTCATTCATTCATTCATTCATTCATTCATTCATTCATTCATTCATTCATTCATTCATTCATTCATTTGTTCTTCCGTCGATTTTTTTTATTTCATTCATTTCCTTGTTCCATTTTACCCTTCCATTTCATTTAGTTCTTTCATTTCATTCATTCATTTATTCAATCATTTTATTTATGTTAAAGAACCGCCAATTCAAGCGAAGGTCACTTTCGGAAACTGAAAGCCAACCTCCGATGTGGCTCAAGTGGATGCAAGAGAGGGCGCTCTCAGTCGAGTCGAGAGGAGGGTCGATGGTGCTCGTTTCAGGGTCAAGAGGGTAGAAATAATAGTGGGACGCGTTGGAGAAAGTCAAGTGCTGGCCATGATTTGTGCACGAGGTACTCCGCACATCGTGACGATTCCAACCGTGAACGGCTAATTTCTGTTCGTTGCTAATCTTAGCCTGGGTGATTTTTTACCTGTGAGCGTTAAAGTAATGCGATCAAATGCCATGAGCATGCTTAGCATGAATGGTCGACCCGGCGACCGATCGGCTCTCGACATGGTTCGTGAGCGGGCGAATTTGATTAGATCTATGTCGTATCTCTGCGGTGACCTCAATGTCCAGCTGTCGGACGCTAATCGAATTGTACCTGGCGAACCACGTGAGGCAGGCTGACTCCGTTGCCGATAGTCACGTTGCCTCTCTCAATGACGTTCTGTGATAGCGCCTTATCGCTCGGAAGTCGGATCTGTCGTCAGCTTTTGAAGTTGATTCAGTAAGTCAAGGTCTCCGCATTTATTGGGATCACTCCGGAAGAGCCGTCGGCCTGTTGAGCTCAGGACCTGAGCTTGAAGGTTCCTCGTTAACGGCCCGACGGGTTGACGCTACTGATTTGTCTTCGTCCGCGCTTTCGTCCTCAATAGCTCTTGATCGTTCCGTTTTTGGTCGGATCAATGGAAGAAAATCAATGTCATTTGGGCGACTTTTCTGTGACAGATGAGCTATTCGAAAGAGGCGTCAGTTTGACTGCCGCAGTTCTCAGTGCGGCATACGAGTAGGTATGGTGGCATTTTGTCTTCCAGCGGGTTCGCGGTGACTCAGCCTCACATACCTAGTTGGACTGTGCGATCACAATATAGTAGTTGGTAATGTAGTAAAAATCATAGATTCTATTTGGCATCGCAAGTATTTGGATCGTCATTCAAAATAAAATGAGAACTAAGATGTGCACGGATGTCATATTTTTACGCCATTAAAGTTTTATATGCCCTGTCTCGTGTGTGTCCGTGTGTATGTTCCTCACACATCTTCCTCCGTTCGCCAGGACCGCAACGAGCGCCTGTTCTACCGTCTGCTCGCGGAGAACGTCGAGCAGATGATGCCGCTCGTGTACACGCCGACCGTCGGGCTGGCCTGCCAGAAGTTCGGCCTCATCTACCGGCGCGACCGCGGCCTCTTCATCAGCATACACGACAAGGGACACATTTACGAAATCCTCAAAAACTGGTACGTAGCGGCTGTGTATGAGAAGGGTAGGCTGGCACGGTTCCAGCCGTGCCGTCCGAGGGGTGTGTTAGTGTTACACAGCTGTGCTAACAGCTGATCAGACTAATGGACAGGTGTTTGCGCACTGACCTTGGCGTGGGTGTTTGTCGGCGATGGAATGTGTTTGGGGAGAAGTGTTTGCCCTCGATGACCGTGATACGTGATAAGTTCAGTCTGGACCGGATATGTACCTTTTTGGGGAATAACATGGGAGGTGAACTCACGCGACGCTCAGCCTGAGATGGTATTGCACATTGCAATGGACTGGCTTTCGTTTGCTGATATCAAATAGTTTTTGTATAGCTGCACTTGAAAATAACTGGAAAGCGGTGTTGCAATCATGTAGGTATGCTTTCCAAACATTGCCTGCTGCATCGGTGGCTAGTCCTACAGCTGTTGGAAAATATAAACAATCCTGCACATCTTGCAGTCCGGGTGAAATAAAGCCATGCCACGGTGTAATGTTGTATACTAGCTTACCATTTTCTCAACGTTACGAAGTCGCCAGCACACTACGCTAAATTCATTTGATAGCGCAAACCTGCTGCCTCCTGAACTGACGTCTTTCGCTGACGCTGCCTTTGCGCTGATCTGTCAGCTGGTCAGCGTGCTGGCCTAACCTGTGTGTCTCCGCCCCATCAGGCCGGAGCAGGACGTCCGGGCCATCGTGGTGACGGACGGAGAGCGAATCCTCGGCCTGGGAGACCTGGGTGCCCAGGGCATGGGCATCCCGGTGGGGAAGCTGTCGCTGTACACCGCACTGGCCGGCATTAAACCCAGCCAGTGTCTGCCCATCACGCTGGACGTGGGCACCAACAACCAGGTGAGACAGCGTTCTGGTAACGCCGGATAAATGATGATGTTCGACGTCTTTGTTGGACTTACCTATCAACATTAATTTTACACACGGAAATAGGTCCATATCATTTTTTTTTTTACTGATCAGAGCAAATTATAGCTAAAATAAAAGCAGTAGTCTTCCTCGGCGCATAGGAAAAATGCAATGCTATGATTGGCTGGAGTAGTAAAGTAATCTTGATTGGCTGAGCGTCATTGAATGACTGACAGTAGACGGCAAAGAGGGAAAGACCGATTTGCACCTTTCCCTGTGAGCCAAATATGAAGGCCGCGGCAGGTGAATGGCATTATATTTGACTTCTTAGTTTGACATTTCCCTAGGGGAAGCGGAACTTTCCTGGCCGGCTGTCCATTTATCAAGATGTCTCATCAGCTGGAGGGTACCGTTATTCACGTTTCTTCCGATGTGTTTCAAATTGTACTGCATTCTTGTTTGCCTCGACTTTTTCCAACGGTTGAAAATTCGCTGAACAGCGGTATCATTGTGAAAGCCGACCATGTGTCTCTGTCGGCTGAGCGGCCTGGTCCCGGCTGTTACCATGCCGCAGATAAGAGTGTCAGCTTAGTATGTTATCTTATTGCTTTTTTCCGTGTCAGAGGTGCGAACTGCGAGGGCCTACGGGCTTATTTGCTCTCCTGATCTGAGGCCTATAGCAGAACAATATTCACCAACTGTTCGTTGTTTCTCAGAGTCTTCTGGATGACGAGGATTACATCGGGCTGCGGCACAAGCGTGTCACCGGAGCCGAGTACGACGACTTCATCGACGAGTTCATGCAGGCCGTGGTGAAACGCTACGGCCAGAACACGCTGATCCAGGTGCGGGCAGTGGTGGTGATAAAGCAGGGGGAGGTAGCGGTAGGCAAGCGGGGATGATTGTGGGCTGGCAATGAATGTTGTGGTAAGCGTGGAAGTTCGTTTTGATGAAGCGACTGGGCACGCGAGTGTGATGCTGAAATGCGACATGATGCATCAGCCTCACTACTTGAAATACCTACATACTAGACTATTCTGATGGTTTTACTGTGCCTCAGGTCGGTATGTGTAACTGCTGAACATCGTTAAACGTTTGCAATTTGGACGAATTGCCGCAATAATGCAACTGATCTACATATATTCGTTACAGGTCTCAAGCCATAATTTTATTGCTAACCAATGTCGATGCGTTTCAGTTTGAGGACTTCGGCAACCACAACGCGTTCCGTTTCCTGGAGAAGTACCGCAACAAGTACTGCACGTTCAACGACGACATCCAGGGCACGGCGTCGGTGGCTGTCGGCGGCATGCTGGCCGCCATGAGGAAGCTCAAGACGAAGCTGTCTGAACACACCTTCCTCTTCCTCGGAGCCGGAGAGGTGAGCGTGGATGACTGGTAAAAGGTACGAGCACTAGATTGACTCTTAACTTCAATTTCAACTGACCTGTGCTTGATACGCGTAGAAGGAAAAGAGTTGGACTGATGCGTGCTGTTGGATATTGGGAGTTGACGCTGGTTTGTTTGATATGTGCCTATTTTCATATTTACTTGGAAGGCATTTTGAAACACTTTTCTGGAAACTTGTGTGACCTTTGAGTACTGCCGTACTCGTTCTAAACAAGTCTAAATAGTTACAGTCCAGCTCCGACTAGCTACAATCTTGGTACGCAATTGACCAGTGACTGCAGGAACGCTACGGGATTACCGGTTCCCTCTGTATCCCCCAGGCGGCTCTGGGTATCGCCGGCCTCTGCGTCATGGCCATGATGAAGGAAGGACTTTCCTCTGAGGAGGCGCACAAGAGGATCTTCATGATCGACTCGCGTGGTCTGATCGTCAAGAACCGGCCTGCCGGCGGCGTGGTGGGCCACAAGGTCGAGTTCGCGCAGGACATGCCGCCCATGAAGGAGATCGCAGAGGTGGTTGACAGGGTGCGGCCCACCGCCCTCATCGGTGAGTAGATGGAGGTGCAGAGATGGGGAGGATGGGAGGGGGAAGGGGGCAGTGGTTGGACGGAGTTGTTTGTACTCCTAGAGGGGAAGTACTTTGAAAGGAGGCCCTTGATGTCTCATGTCTGTTGGGTCTGGTAGATGTATGTTTCAGGTTGAATAAGATCCATAGTACGTTCTTTTTAAAGTGGTTGACAGGATACGTCCCTTTACACTTGACTAGTTACGTGTGGCATTGAGTGCCTCTAGAATTTCGCTCCAACATGTTTTTATCCCAACTGGTATTGTGCCCAGAACTGACGACAGCCCGTTGTCACAGGCGCCGCCGCCCAGTCCGGTGCGTTCACACCCGAAATTCTGAAGAAGATGGGCGAAATCAACAAGGAGCCCATCATCTTTGCGTTGAGCAATCCGACCAGCAAGGCCGAGTGTACGGCGCAGCAGGCGTACGAGGCGACAGAGGTGGGTGCCGCAGGGTCGGACTGTGGTGTAAACTGACTCGGACGGTAATAATGCCTGGGTGAGAGGCAGGGTCTGCCAGAGCGAAGACGATCGTGTTTTTCAATGTAGTAGAAACTCGTTGGTCAATTGGACTTCAGCGTTTGAGAACATCATTGTTCTGACATGCATCGAACATTTGATTGAACTTCATCGTATATTTTGATGGCTGTTTAGCACGTCGCATATTCTTACGTCGTGGATTGCAGTTACATATCTCACTTATGTTATAAACGTATGTTCCTGTAATTAATCATGTGCTTCATCCGTATCATTATCTCACGAGACCGAATCGTTAATGTATCGAATTTACGATTTACGTATCGATTTACGTGACTATTGATTTCCGCCGCAGGGCCGCGCCATTTTCGCCTCGGGTTCTCCGTTTGACCCTGTGACGATCAACGGCAAGACGCTGTACCCTGGCCAGGGTAACAACGCCTACATCTTCCCTGGCGTCTCGCTGGGAGTCATCTGTACGGGCATGCACCACATCAGCGAGGAGGTGTTCCTCTACAGCGCAGAGGTAGGTGATGCAGGGAGGGAGGGAGAGTGGGGGTCAGAGTGGGGATAGATGGTGAGAAATGCCTGTGTACAGTCCACAGCAGAAGTAATGTGCGGTTTCAGTCATGGGTATGTTCTGCTTCTGAAGCTTAGGAACGATTAACCAGACTACAATGAAAATTTGAATGTAGCTTATATGTATCGTCACCCTTGCAGCTGCAACTTTAGCTATTGGCATCTTCTTTTCGATATTCACTCCGCATTAAACAATCGCCAGTCAAAGCCAACCGTTGAGATTGGTAAAAGCCTACATTACTTTAGCGGTGGGCTGTATATACCTATGTATTACTTGCCAGGCTCGGAAAGATTCTGTCAATTTTGAATAAAAAGGTCTACCTAAGTGTCGTTCACGTATGCTTGATGACTGTGACAGTGATTCACTACGACATCACTATGACATCACACGGTGTGACCGACTGTAATTGTGTCTGTATTTATCGTTCCTGTCTTTTCCTGTCGACTTCACCAAGCGCTATCTTAGACGATGGGCTGTTCCTGAGACTGTATCTCTGTTGACCGTATCGTTTCCTCCTTCCAAGCGCTACCTGAGATGGTGATATCGTGCCCTCCCCTCCCTCAGGCGCTGTCTGAGATGATGATATCGTGTCTTTTCCTCCCCCAGGCACTGTCTGAGATGGTGACGGACGAGGATCTGGCCCAGGGTCGGCTCTACCCCCCGCTCAGCTCCATCCAGGAGGTCTCCATCAAGATCGCTGTCCAGTTGGCGGAGCACGCCTACAAAACCGGTGAGACTCGCGACGGTGTGACTAACATAAGGAGTCTGAATAGACGTGGGTGGGCAGGCTGAGATGGTCGTATACCTTTCAGCATTACGGTGGTTACTGGTTGTTTGGCACAGGTCATTGTAGGATGTTATTGTCAGTCGTTGAATAAGCATACAAAGAACAGGTTTCTATCCAAACAGAGAGTAGGGGAGAACGGGGCGATTTGGCCGCTCTTTTGTAAAAACGATATTTTGAGAAAACCAGTGCGCGTTTGGTCGATTTCTCCATGGAGGGGTGTGAGGCGTTCAATTGTTGTTCCGGCCTATTACTTGCATCATGCCGGGACATCTCGTTTTGGTAGTAATTAAACGCATTTTCAAAGACTGCACGGCGGCCAAATGACCCCGGTACCGGGGTCACTTGGCCGGGGGAGTGGGGTCATTTGGCCGGGCATGTGATTCAAAGATATACCCATTACAGAGCTGAGACAACCTGAAATATTGACGCCCAAGATTGTGCTTAACTCATGAATTCTGGATTGACTCGACGCATGACTGATGTGACGATCCAGATGCCCCAATGCTGACACAAATGATAAGCATCGTGACTCATCTTTGATTCGCCTAAAATCCTTAATTTTTCAAAGGACTAGGCTTACACTCGATTCATTGGAATCAGTGCAAGTGAGTAGCCACATTTGATTTACGAGCTTACGACTCATGAGTTGAGCAGTAAGTGCCCAGTGATAACAACAGCCAACCGTAATGGCTGCCAAATCGTAGATTGCTTTGGACGACAATCGCCCTGCAAAAAAAGTCCTTTGTGCACAAGTTGTTTGTTTATTTCAAATTCTGTCGTAAACATAAAATCAAAACGATTCGCAGGCCCCGTCTTCGACCCAGCACTTAAACACATCCACTGTAAAAGACGGTCCCGACGGCATGGACACATGTCCAGTCATCACTGCGCTTCACTGTTTTTTTCACTTTTGTTGTTTCTTCGACGGTCCAGCTACCGACGTTCGATGGTTCGACCAGGGTGGTTCGACGGTCCAGCTTGTGGACCCTGCTTTTTGCTCCTCGCCATGTGCCTGTTGCTCGTCCTCCAAAGCCGTCCGCTCCGGGCTGCTAGTCAAGATTTTAGAACGTCCTTTCTTCCGACCGGCTTTTCGAACGTTGATGCGCAGCTGCGGTCCGGAAGTGGTCGGATGGACTCCGGGCTTCCGACAAGCGGCAGGCAGCTGGAGCAGGCCGCGGCAGGCGGCTGGAGCACGGCCGAGGCTGGCGGCTGGAGCACGGCCGAGGCCGCGGCGTGCTGATCTGCCGTCCCTGGGGCGACGACCGGTACGAAGACCGCCGTCGGCGCAAAGTCTTCGTCGTCGAAGGTATCCCGGTTGAGCGGCGATATCCCGGCCGCTTCTAATTCTTAATTAACCCTCGCCGGCACAGGCCATTTTGAGTCCTTCGACGGCACAAGGGGGGGGGGGGGTACGGCTCCCCTCGCGTTTGGCCCCTGATGGAGCTAGAGCTTCGCGGAAAAAACGAGCGTGTTGCCCGTCACGAGAGGAAGCCAATGATACCCAATTTTAAGGTCCTAGGTCATCGGTTGATCTTCCAGGTCAGGTCAATGACCCAAAAATCGGGAATATCGGGACCTGTTAGAAAGTCGTAAAGCGTGGCTGCTTAGGGGTTTTCCGGAGTGCTGTCTACTAGAGTTCTGCACGGCTGCAATTTTCCACAGCCTAGCCGCCCCGCAGCCGTGGCTCCACAGCCACAGCCGCCCACAGCCGTGGCAAACTGTGGGCAGCCAGCCGTCAGCCGGCCGTGGATACTTTCAATGAAATGCAACCAAATAGTATATAATAAGTTGTTTTTAGTTGAAACATATAGCCAAAGGCACATTGCAATGGGCTATAGATCCTCAAGCTCATGAAGCATCATAGGTTAAGTGGTTGTATATCTGGCTTTAGGCCGAAGGCCTGAAGCCTGCTGCGCAACGCATGCCTACACAAGCCCTTGCAAGTTGTTAAGAAAGATGGGTAGGTAGGTACCTACATCAACAGAAAACATAAACAACAAACCAGAATAGAAGCACTAGCAGTGTAGACATCTAATGCCAAATCCTGAAGCATGGTTGTGGGACAGAACAACAGACCCTGATGCTTTTCATTATCAATGTTAGGTATGGAAAATGAAACTGAAGTTGATGGACTGTCAAACAGTGATTGTCTAGTCAAAACTCTTGCTTCTTTCTTACCTTGCATATTTTCTGGGGTGTGATATGCCAGGCTTGAAGCAGCCTTCTGAGCAAGTCTCAAACTAATTTGATATCCAAGGCATCAAAACACTAGTGAGCATCCAAGAAAGAAAAACATTCATCTATTTTGATTTTTCCAAATAATGATCTTCGCTCAAATCCCCAAGGACGTGCGAGCCACAATTGCCTGTTTCAATCAAAAATTTTACTTGAGTTTTTAATGACGTCAATAGTAAGGAAGTGGCAATAAATTGTTTTGTTTCACTATAAACAGCCATAAAAATTATAATTTTTTAATAATAACGTTATGCAGTTTTAAAATTTGCTCTTAAACAAAGATCAAGTATCAAATTTTCACATTTTTAGAACAAGACGTCATTTTGTTAGTAAAGTCAACAGCTCGCGTAAGAAATATTGTGTTCAGGGTTTTCACTGTCATGTGAATTACGTGTTCGAGATGGCAGCCGACAGAACTCCTGCCACAAGAGGACACCAATGGAGACTAGCCAAGCCGCGAGCGGTCTCCAGGATTCGGCGCAACGCGTTCTCCATCCGGGTCATCAACGACTGGAACAGCCTACCGTCAGTGGTCGTCGCATCCGACACCCTGAACCAATTCAAAAACCGGCTTGACGCTCACTGGGCACACCATGCACACGACATCCCTCACGCAGACGAATAGTCAGACGCACGAGGAGCTCGACTAGAAAGGTTTCTAAAGGCCTAGTCTGGCCTATCCAAATTCTGTACTTCGTAAGTAAGTAAGTGTTCAGGGTTTTCACCATCATGTGAATTAACCGTAAGTAAGGTTCATGCTCACTTATATTCTAATTCCATTGGCTTCGTTGATCGGCATTTTCTGTTAGCGGTCACTCACACACCAGTTAGAACATAAAGCGCCAGTTTTATATTATGTAATTGGACTTGCCGAAAATCCAGAAATTCATCTAAGAGGTATTTTAGATAATATTTTATTAAGCCTTTACCTGCCTTTACCTAGGCATGATTTCTTTTTCTATTACCTGAAAGAATTATTGAACGCTCGTCTTCAATAACTGTAAGGTGCTCTCCTAATGACCAGGTGAGATTGATTTTAGAGGGATGTGACAATGCAACATGCTGCATTTTCTGAAACTGTCAAGCTCTTGATGATGAAGGAACAATTGGTACCGATTATTAGTATTCTGTACCAGAGTGCAAACTCCCCACAGCAAATGGTAAAACCATTACAGGTTCTCAAAGGCTTCACCACTTTCAATGTTGCTGGGCATCCTTTGCATGATTTTTACAGGGGGCTAGACTGCTTATCAGAATGTAAGATTAAGGATTTAAGATTTTATATTTGAGTACTTAAGATTGAGCTTGAAATCTCACAGCCGTGGCCACAGCCGTAGCCGTGTTCTTGGAGATATTTGCAGCCGCCCCGGCCCACAGCCGTGGGGCTGCAGCCAGCCGCGGCTGCAGCCGGCCGGTGCAGACCTCTACTGTCTACGAATATCGTGTTAGTTTTGATCACAGATGATGTCGTTAGGCGTTTTGACCAGGTCGTGTCAGGTCAGGTCAGGTCAGGTCAACCGGTAGGGGTCGTGACGGGTATTCGTAGTACCTGTCATCCGCCTCTGACAGCTTCGTAACATGTTAAGAAGGCGCCAAAACTACTTCGTAAATGTTCAAATGGTTGCTGAATTCGAATTCAGCTCCAAAAACTAGCCTAGAAACATGTAAAACTCGAAAAAGTGAACCGAGGTCACCAAAGGTTAATGACCTGACCTGACCTTCAGGTGACCTTGAAACCCACCCTAATGCATGGGAGCAACATCAAATCACATGTTTGAACGTTTGAAACCACGAAAAGCTTGCAAACGCGCGGCTAATGCGAGCCGACATACGCCGAATCGCGATTTCGGCCAAACATGGTCACGGAAAAGAGGTCACAGGTCAAAGGTTTTTGGGGTCAGGGTCATAAAATTTTCAGAGTAGGTGTAAAATTGATCAATGCGAGGGTACTGAAAGTTTCGTCGCGATCGGCTGCTTTTTACGCTAGTTATTTGGCAAAAAATCAACGGAGTCGCTGGGCGGCCAATTCGCCCCGTATGGGGCGGCCAATTTACCCCAATATGACATTTTTAGGAAAAGGGGTCCGCAGACAAGCAAAAATTGCTACTTAAACTTGCAAAAGGGTCAGACAGCTCCCTGAATTACCAGATTGTTCTACCAATAGAGTTAAAATTTTGATGTCACCCAAATAAGGGACACCATGCAACTTTTCGTAAAGAAGAAAAAGTTACGTTTTTTAGCCAAAATTCAAATATCGTTGGCTTTACAAAAAACTGGGCGTGGACGAGTTTCCTAAGTTTCTTTCCAAAGTAGTTCTTATGACGGCGGATGGTGCCATATTCAAAAATAATCGCTCGGGACCGTCAAAACGCGTAGGCATGGGGCGGCCAAAGTGACCCGGGCGGCCAAATGACCCCGCTCTCCCCTAGTTTAAAGGCACAGGCCACGGGACAGACAGACCAACTAAACAAGCGGAAAAGAATTGTTGACGCTAAGTAGAATGTGTAATTTTACAAAAAGCGGAGCTTCTCTTCTAAAGGTTTCTATCTGTCAGATATATGTGCGAATGTTATGACCCGACTCCGAGAATCAGCACTCCGGAGCACACATACCTCGGTGCGCTCCCTAACCTCAGCGAATTAGCGTTTCGGAGCCCACGCGATGCGTCTCCACCGCGTTCCTGAGCCACCATCTGAGTCCGTCCGGGCGCTGACGGCCTGTTTCAGGCACCGCCTCCACCTACCCTCGTCCGACCGATGTGGAGGCGTTTGTGCGCGCTCAGCTGTACGACCCGCGCTACGGCAGCGCCATACCTCAGGCGTACTCGTGGCCGTCTAACCTGTAGGATCGGCCGTTCGCGAGGTTTGTCGGCTGCACGGATTCTTCGCACGCTAGAGCTCCAGCACCGCTCGCTCGCACTCCACAGCCTCTCTGGATGGTGGCCCGGCCGTCGGAGAGGTGATGCCACCTGGTGCTGGCCTGACGAGGAAGCCGGTGGTCACCGAAAGATTTCCGGCTGACCGCGGCTCGTGTGGCGTCCTGCTCTTCTCTAGCGCTAGTTATGTGTCTTTTGAGTGTTGTGTTGTCATCCCTCTTGGTTTTTGGCTGAACTAGAAGCACCCATTTCCAGAGGTCGTCATCAGTTCTGCTCATCTCCGCACCATGCACCACGCGCGATCGCCTTGCACCTTGTAGCTCGCTAGTCGCTTTTCTGTCGGCTAGAATTTCTACCTTCCAGCGCTAGATAATTGTCCGTCCTAGGTGTGTACTGAGTGGCGTGCCAACTTCGGAGCTCCGTTTGAGGTGGAATCAGGAGCCGTTGTGCGTCACTAACACTGAACCTCCACACTCCACAGCACTGTCCATCCGGTGGAAGACTCGTCCACGGTGGAGGATTTGTGGAAATTTTTACCCATGTTTGTGGAATGAAATACGTGATTGTTTGATGTGGCGTGATACTAACTTTTGTGTCAACATGATGTATTGTTTGAAGAGATGGTTGCCGTTTAGGGCCAGTCATTGGCAGGTTGAAGGCTTTTACGTTTTACGCCTGTTTGGGTATGAAATACGAGGTGCCATATTTGTGCTGCCGATATGTGGAAGCGTTGAATGATAAAAGGCAGTGTGCCGTTTAGCCAAAGAATGACTCGCATGACCGTGTAGCTGATCGTACCGTCCGATTGGTCCCTCCAGGCCTGTGTGTGACCTCTGACCCCGTCTGGCAGGCATTGCGTCCCTGTATCCGGAGCCCAAGGACAAGGCGGCCTTCATTCGGGCCCAGCTGTACGACTACCACTACACGAGTCCGCTGTGTGCCACCTGGGAGTGGCGGAGCCCCGAGAACCACAACGGGGCCATGTGAGCTCACCGTGCTGCCATCTGACGAACAAAACGACAACTGTAACCTGACGGTGCGGCCGCCGAGCGGCAGCACACGGCGCCCGTGGGGACTGTGTTCCTGAACCGAAATGAGATTTGGTGTTGAATGATGGTGAGATCAGTGAGGCAATTGATGGGTGTAGAGAGAGAAGCGAGCAGTGCTGAATGGGAGATTTTTGGCAACAGCCGACGCTGGTTACTGGTAATGGTGGGACGTGTCAATGTTTACTGGAGCCATAGGATGGAATATATTTTACCGTCACCATCCGTCACCTTCACGACGGTCAAAGCGTTACGATCATGCCCTTTTTGAAGCTCGTTTAAGAGTGATCTTTCAACTGAGACGGATTTCTCCTTTTACTTTATCTTAATTTAAGTTGGTTGAAGGTGTATTTTTAAAATTGTACTCAATATATTATCGTAAGCGCGTCCCTTCGTAGTGGTGGCATGTATGTTTTGCTCGAGCTACGATTATAGCATATTATCGTGGTGTTAACTGACTGAAATGTAAATTTGTTGGTTGGACATGATGAGCAATACATGAGATATGAGTCGTATTGCGACACATCTGAGCGAATTGCAAGTATTTGTGGCTTCAGCCGACTTTATAAATATACCACAGTGGCGGATCCAGGGGGCCGAGGGCAAAATGGGCATTTGCCCCCCACCCCCACCCCAAACGGCATAGTTAAACATTATGCCTATGGACGAGGCATGGAAAGAATCGATAAATTGTTATGGTCTGCCCCCCCCCCAAAAAAAATGAGCTGGATCCGCCTCTGATATACCACTCCGACTGATAATGGTTACGATCGATTATGGCCAGTCGGAGACCGGAGTCGTGTCCTGGCAGCACCAGCCACTGACTGCTGGCTGGCGACAGTGGGCCATGGGGCGGCAGCTCAAAGGGTGTCGATGGGGAGAGAGTTCGGGGAAAGGGCGCAGCGTTTTGCCGCGCATCCAGCAAAAAAGTATGCATACAACAGGACGTCACATATGCTGGATACCACATAATCGAGACGACTTGTAGGGACAAAGCGCTAAAGGTAATTTGGACGCGGCACTCGGCGGTCAGCCTCGTCTGTAGACACTAGACAGTACCGAAAAGCCTAAAGCTGGACCGGGAAGGCCGAGCGAGAGGCCGGAGCTGAAAAGTTCTTGGAAAAATCATGGGCATATGTGAGCTTTCATAGTGAGTTCTCAGATCATTCCATAAAAGCAAAGCCAAGCTTGGGGCCTTCTCTTGACACTTCCTAGCCTTACTTTGAGCCAGTAAGTCGCTTGATATGCGGGTTGCCCGGCCCGGGCCTACGGTCTACGCCGCCACGGAGCTCCGAGGAGACCTCGGGCGTCAACGCGAGGGAACTGAAGGACCAGGCCTGCACTCTCTCAGCAGTAAACGGAAGACTAATAGAGATTTTACTTACCAAATACCAACATAGTGAATCTTGATTCATTAGGTTAGGTTAGTGAAATGAACAGTTGAGGCTTGAGCTCCGCTCTGCTCCGCTCCCAAGATTACTTTACTACTCGCCGCTCCTATGGAAAGGGAAAACTTCACGCGTATTGGAGAATGCAGGGGCTGCCATATGTTCCATTTTTGAACTGTTGTTTTCTTTCCTGCGCATACGAGACAAACATTGGAATGAAAGATTTTCAGTGAAATATGTGGAATTTTGACAAAAAATCAATTATGCCTTGAATTAAACTATTATTTATCATCCAGTCGAGCCATTTACTTAGGTATTTAGATAGCCTTTAGAGAAAGTGGAAACAAATAAATATTGAGGTGAGAAGGAAATTTCAGCATTTGTTCTTGTCTGTCATAATTCTTGTTCTTTTTGTATTTCAGTACTTAGCATTCACAAGATCAACACAGCGCGTTTTATGACCTTCTAGGTCCTTTAATTTATGATATCCTGAGGCCAGGTTTACCAACGAAATATTGCCAACAGCGGCTTTGCCGCTTTTTTGCAGCTCTGAAGTCGTATCAGGATCGGTTTTGCCGGCGTAATCACTTATCAGCTTGTACTTTTCAGGTGGGTGCTGTGATTTAAATAAGATCATAAAAAATAACATCTCCATCAGCAGCCTGTGATTTTCCTTTTGATAAAGCTGACATTTATGATTTAAGTCATCTTAATTTAGGTGTTAAGTAGTTGTCAGGCCTCCAGAGTTCAGTGACTGATCTTACAAAATATCTGAGATTGTTACTGTCCCTTTTACCTATATTTATTTTACCCTGGTTACTTTTTTGTTTGTAAATATTTAAAGGCCTTCATTTTCACATCAGTTTCATCCAATAAGCCATGTAAATTGAGTATTTAAAATTTACATCCAAAACTAATATTCTTTCATGTTGAGAATTTCAGACTCAGTGCCTCGGACAACTGATGCAGTTGGTGAAGCTCTAGTGCATGGGCATCCGCAAGGCACAAGGCAAAAAGTAAGGTAAAGTGTGTTATGGTTCATTGACCTTAAGCACTGAATGCTGGAGTTAAGACACAGATGTCATCTGAATCTACAATATATGCTTAATATAAATTGCAAAGTTTTTAGAAATACTTATGTAAGGCCTTACCACAGTCCAAATAGACTATGGAGACATCCATGCAACACCACTCTGTTCTAGAATTGCCTACCTACTTATTTTGTCAGGTGAACCAAAGATAATGCTAAATTTCACCAGGTATTATGGGTATTATGTATACTGCACTGCCAAACAAAAATATTTGGTGTGAGGGAAAATGATTTAACAATAAGTGCATCACAAATACAATTAATAAAAAGCATGTGATTGTGCCCTCTGCCCAGTGCTTATGGTGCTGCATCAAAAAGACAAAGGAGAAGAACTTGCAAAGCTTGGATGCAGTGTCCCAAAATTTGCCAGTTTGGGTGGGAAGTGACATCCAAATCAAAATAATTTTCCACTCTCACCTCCAATTTTCCAGAGCGATTTTTCACTCCCTAGTTTACCAATTAAGAGCATCTGCGTGCACTTTGTACCTCCCTCCAAATTCGATTCAATGATCTTTTAAGACAGCTCCCACGTCCTCCAACACTCACAAATTAGGTAATTGTTGATATCTGTTTTCTGCTCTTTTTGTACTCTTCTAACTGGCAATTTTCCACTCTCGGCCCTCTTTATAGTGACGAATATTCCCCTCTGACACCCAAGCCAAAATATAATTTTGGGACACTGCTTGGATGGGTTGTGAAACCTCATCTTCCTTACAGCACTGACTTGGCAGTGCACTGTCTTACTTCCATCTGTTCAGATCACTGAAAGACTTTTGACATTGGCAGTACTTCTTATGTACTGATGTAATATACATAAAGACTTTGATGAGCTGCTGCCAGAATATAAATAAGGAGTTTTCCAAACAAGATCTCAGTGTTGGATGGGATGCTGTGAGAAGCATGTGCTGTTGAACCATGACTGTGAGAGGTTTGAGTTCCACAGGCCTGGGAACCTGACTGATATAGCCAGATAAAAAGATATAGCCACTTTAAACACAAAACTACAATGGACATGTGGTGCTGGGTCTAAAAACGGTCTTGAGTTAACAGTATGTGTTTCTTTCACAGATGGACCTGAGTGTGGAGAACGGTGGCGACCTGGGCCGGCTGATGACGGCAGCCGGTGACAACGGCCGCCGCCTCACCGGCTCCAGCATGGAGAGCTCACAGGCAGACGAGCCTGACGCCAGCCGGAGGAAGAGCGCGGCCGGCCGCTCCCGTCGGCGCCTTACCCTGGAGATGACTGCGGCGCTGCTGCATCGGGCCCGCCGCGAAACGCGCGGCAACGAGCTGGACTTTGAGCGTGCAAACACGCTGGCGTTTCACGACACCGCCGACACACTGTCCACCGACATGTCGGATAAGAGCGGTACGGCGAGTGCTGAGGAGCGGGCGCGCGCCTTCTTGGAGAGCGGCTGCGGCGGCTTGTCGCTCCTGGACGCCAGTCGACTGCTGGAGCAACTCCGGTCGCCACCAGGCACACGACGCACTCGACGGGGCACACGTCGCCTGGCATCGCCCCGCGCCGACGCCACGCTGGCAGAGCTCGGAGAGGACGGTGTGGCTGCTCTGTTACACATAGTCGACGAGCAGCTCAATTCATTTAAGGGGTCGCTTTCGGATAGCGAGGGTGATCTTTCGTCGTCCGAGGAGACTGTACTGGAGGCTGAGAGGACCCTCACCTCGGAGTCTCACGAGGTCGGCGGTACGAACTCTGTCGAGGCCGAACAGGAAACCGAGAACTCTCAGCCGTTCGCCGAGCCAGCGCCGGTGTCTCACCGTCTCGGGAAGTCGGCTGTGCCCGTCGGTTCACCACAGGGCGCAACGACCGGTCTGGAGCGACGCGCCGCACTGACCAATCTCAGTAACACTGCTTTCGCTCGCGACCGAACTTCGGTGGGAACGTCGGACATCAATCGCAGCATTGTGGCAGGAAGTCTGGACCAGACTGTCAACTGGTCTGGGCGTAGTTCGATCGACCGTTGCCGCCTGCGTGGTTCGCCAAGGGCCTCCATGGGTCTTTCCAGAGCAATGCCTTTATTGCAGAGCACTCCTAGGGTTTCCAAAGCTGGTTCGGAGTTTTCGTTACGACTTGAAGACTCATCTACAGGTTTGAAGGACGTCACTGAAGCCTCGAAGTGCGTTTCTAGTGGGAATGCGCTGCTTAACCGTCCACTTGGGGATAGTTCGGGTCCAGTGCGAAAAACACGAAGAAACACACGGAAGAAGAGACAGAACACGGAGGAAAGTGCCTCCGCTCTGCAGAGTAAGAGCGCTACAGACAGCGAGAACGATATGTGTACTCGACTTCAGAGCTTGTCGCTTTCCAGCACCGCAATGGCACGGTTAGCGGAGTCGTGTGTCCTGTCAGAGCTAGAGCCTTTTACACCTTCCTCTGAGCTTTCAGAGTTTCAGTCAGCAGCTCCTATGGACGTTTCAAACCGGCAGCAACCACAGCTGTCGTGTGTTCAATCTCAACCGGAGCTTTCTTGGTCAAACGCAAGTGGTCGGCGACGAGGGAGGAAACGAGGCCCCAAACCAAAACCTCAGGCAGTGAATGCTACGAACACAGCGCAGAAAGAGAATGATGCAAGTCAACACGAATCGCAGCAGAGAAGCGCCATGGGTGCCTCGGATGTATCGGCCAGTCGTGCCGCCAAGGTTCGTCGTCGCACGATCGAGGTGACTGCTGCTCTGATCCAGAAGGCTTGCTCCGGGGTCCCCGTGTCCAGTAATGTGGTCGATTCGCTCCTGTCTTCGTTCGACTGCTCGCTCGGCTCCGCCTCTGCCGGTCAGAGGCAGAGCGCCGAGGAGCGGGCGCGCGCCTTCTTGGAGAGCGGCTGCGGCGGCTTGTCGCTCTTGGACGCCAGTCGTCTGCTGGAGCAACTCCGGTCACCGCCAGGCACACGACGCACTCGACGGGGCACACGTCGCCTGGCATCGCCCCGCGCGGACGCCACGCTGGCAGAGCTCGGAGAGGACGGTGTGGCCGCCCTGCTTCATATGGTTGACGAACAGCTGAACTCGTTCAGGGGTTCTCTCTCCGATGAGGATGACGAAACTTCATCGGAAAGCACGATGTTGGAGGCTGAACGAACTCTGGTTCAGGAGGAGTCACAGGCTGAGATGGAACAGGGTAGAGATCCGTCGAGTACCGAAAATCCCACAGCCTGTGCAGATAGCTCGCCAGATTCAGTGTCGGACAAGTCCAGTATGTTTCACTCAGCTGTGGACGACACACCGGCTGATCAAATGTCGCGTGAGTCGGTTGGGGCGTGGCTGGACAAGAGTCGGAGCTACCAAGTCGGCAATCTCGAGCAGACTGGTCGCGCTGATCGCAGCTTGTCACAGGCCTCGCTGCGCCTCTCGACAGCCGCCCCGCTACTGCAGAGCACGCCCAGACGCTCCGCGACGGGCTCCTTGGCCTCGCAAATGTCGCTGAGACTGGAGGCGTCATCTACTGTCAATGAGGCGTCCAACTTCTCCAGAGCGACGAGAGCATCCACCACTTCTCGAGCTTCAACGACATCAAGGGCCTCTACAGCCTCGCGAGCGTCAACTTCTTCAGGACTGTCGGGGATGGAAAGACGCTCAGGCAATGAAGGAAATGTTTCAGCCACATGCGAAGAAGTCGATGTGCCAGTGCCAGAAGCGGATGCCGCTGGGACTGCGCTGTCAGTCGTGATGGAGGACGTCACGCCTCCTATGACTGAGGATAGCCATTCCTCAACGCAGGCCGCGGAAGAGGAGTGTTCTGACAGTGACGCCACTTTGGAGGATGAGGAGGGAGCTGACAGCGATGCTACGCTGGAAGGAGAGGCGGTCGTCAACAACTGCGACTATGTGCCTGACTCAGGGACAGTGGAAGACCTGACCGTTACACCGAACGTCGAAGAAGCAGAGAAACGTGAATCTCTTACGTCATCCAAGATTCATCAGGATGAGAATCCATCGAGCTCCTCGCCGATCGGATCTCCTCCCTCTGCCGAACCGCGAGTTCTTGCAGCTGCCTCCATCCTTTCCGAGCCAACAGAGACCGTCACAGCGCCTATCAGTGCTCTACTGTTTCCATCTGGCTCCAATCCTGGCGTCATATCGGCCACCATGAGCTCATTCCGGGCTCCGGAGCTGCGCTCCCCGGTCACAGCTAACAGCTCACTGACGGGAATGTCGGAGATATCTCTGCGTCGGCCGGTGGGTCGGGATTCCACGCTGGCTCCGGCGGTGTCGGCGGCGGCCTGCGAGCTGTCGCTGCTGGCGGGTCCTGAGGCCAGTGGTCGACGGCGGAAGGCGCGGGGAAGTCGGTCGCGTGTGACTCCACCAGGTGCGTCGTTCGTGGATGAGACACTTCACGAGGAAGGGGAGGATGAGGAGTGGGAGGATGCGGAGGAACCGTCGGATGAGAGGAAACGAGAAAAGGGCGAGGAAGAAGAACTAGAAGACCGAGGACAAGATGTCGAAACGGAAGCAACGTGTGCGGAAGAACAGATGGAAGTTCATCATCCAGGCATCATTCAAGAAGTGGATGATATGGGTCATGTGGACTACGAGGGCCACACACGATCAAGTGAATCGTACACGAAAGCAAAGAGTGTCAGTAGAGTAATGGCCTCCCCGGAATCGGTAGTACCTGGCCAGGATGCTGAGGCAGTCAATACCACCCCTGCATTTGACAGCAGTACCAGGTCTGCACGGGGCGGGTCTTCGACGCGGCGGAAGGATGGAAGGCGCTCTCGGGCCAACCGCAGTCGGGTGATGGAAGCCTCCGCAATGGATTCGTCCAACATGGACCTGACCTGCATCACAGAGACGGTGACAGCAGCTGTTCCTCTGCTCAGCTCTACAATGAGGGAGGACTCAGAGGGAGCCGGGATACGAGTGGGTGGCCCACGGAAGGGTGCCCACAGCCTGTCGTCGTCTTTCGGCGGCTCCGGCCGACGTCTGATGCTGTCGGCGTCTCCGGTCGACTCCCCGGGCGAGGTTAGTGCCCTGTACCGAACCTCGTCATCCAAACTGAGCCGCAGTCGTTTGGGGACGAGCAGCCGGCGTGGCTCGGCGACTAAATCGACCAGCCGTGGCTCCCGGTCGCGGTTGGGATCGTCAGGCAGTGGTGGCAGGAGCAGGGACCAGTCGGCGGTCTCGGCACTCCTGGATGAGACCATGGATCGGGTGACGCCGGTGCCGGCGCTACCCATGTCGCGCCTGCCGCTGGTGGGTGGAAGTTCGAGTGGTGCTGATATGTCCAGCGGAGCTGTATCGAATGCCAGCCGCATCTTTCGGGGCTCTGGAGCGAACAGAAGCCGCTCACGGGGTGCCAACTCAAGCTGCAGCTCTAAAGGAAGACGCAGTCCACCCAGCCGCATCGACCTCGGCGCGGCAGGAGACGGTGCCACTGGTGGTGACGAGTCTGATGACCTGGAGAGCACGCTGGTAGGCGAGGAGGGTGCCGTCGGCCGCACACCGACCGGCCCGGACGCCGCTGGCGATCGACGGGGACCACTGGACTACAGCTCCATCAACCTCCCGGGCGTGAGCCTCGCCCGGGCGTCAGTCACCGGCGACCCGGCCCGGCTCAGTATCGCGCCGGGGGACCCGCTCGCCTCGTCAGCGCTGCTGAACGAGTTCTCCGGCGAGCTGGACGAGCTGGATGAGGAGTCCTACTACAGTGAGGAAGAAGAGCTCGGCGCGGGCGCGGCCGGACCGCCGCAGCCTCCACGCACCGCCGCCGGCCGCCGGCCCACGCGACAGGAGCGGTTCGCCGCGCTGTTCCCAGAGGACGCCGACAAAGCTGGAGCTGCAGCTGCGCCCAATGCCAAAGCAGCTGGTCGTAGGAAGCTGGGCGCGCTCCCTGCCACGGTACGCTCCAACGTGCGGCTCTTTGCCGTGGCCGACGCCGACCACAAGCGGTGGCTGAAGGCCAACGCCACGGGATTGAAGGTCACCGCCGACGCCCAGCGCGAGGTGAGTGGGAACCGGGGGTCGTGGCTTTGCGTGCTGCAGCGGGTAATTGCTGCTTTTCTCTGTTATCATTTTTTAGCCTGCAGGTTGTCTTATTTTTCACTATTCTTTTGTCCCCGCAGGGGGCTGACCGTGGTCAGAGCTGCTGCTTAGCCGGGGTAACCTAGCCCCGGCTTTGCGGCGGCTGTGACTTCGGCCAGTAAGGGGAGTAGCGCCCCCTCGGCCCCAGCTTGACGCGCGTTTGACTTGGACTTGCCTTGCTTACTGGATGGATTGTCTGCAGGATTGGCCCCGCAGGGGGTTGGCAGTGGCTCGGGTTGCTGTCGGATTGGGTTCCTTGGGCCCTTGCCCCGCGGCGGCCCTGGCCTCGGCCAGCAAGGGGAGTAGCGCCCCCTCGGCCCCAGCTTGACCCATGCTTGCCTACGACTTGCTTTGATCGCTGGATGGACAGATGGTACGGCCCGACTTTTCTCGGTTTCCGTGGTTTTGTTTCTCTTGAGCGGTCTTTGTTTGCTTTTGCTTTGCTTCTCACCGGATGTCCGCGTTTCGTTCGATCACAGCTTTCTGATTCCTTTTCTCCCCTTTTTCGTTGTTTTTGCACCCGCAGGAACACAGCCGAGTTGGGCTAGTGTAAGGGGAGTGGCGTCCCCTCGGGTACCAGCCGGTTTTACTAGGCTAGGCGAGCCGACCCGTACCCCAGGACAACGGGATCCTGGAGGTTGAGCCCCCCACCGTGCGGAGCCAGTCGCGGTGGCTGGGCAACACGCCTCTTTGGCCCTGAGTTCTGTAAGGGCGGGACACTCAGTGGGGCGCCGCACTTGAGGAGCCATTCCCAGTCGTGATGCCGCCGGGGGTGGTGTTGGAGAGGTGTCGCCGGCGGGGTTCGGGCACTTGTGCTCGTCCTCCGTCGGTGGGGCTGATCTGTCGCTGCCCCTGGCGGTGACTCGGCGAGGCGTCAAGGGAGGAGGCGGTATCCGACCGTGGGGGGTGGTGAGCCTCTCTCTCCCCCTCGGAAGGTGCCGCCAAGTCCCGTACAGTCAGCTCGGCCGTCCCAGGCCTTGTAGCGGCGCCGTTGCGGAGCGTCGGCGGCCGAGCTGGCGGAGACCAACTCTTTCACATGGATAACTTGACCGATCCCCCTTCCCCCCAGTCCAATCCCTCGGCCTCGGCCGATCCTCGCCCGTTGGCCTCGGCCGACAGGCGAACGGTGCTCGACAAATGTCCACGATCTCCTAAGATCCTTATCTTCCGGAGCGCAGACAGGGAGCTGAGCTCTCTGTCGCCCTTCCAGCGGAAGGATGGCTGCGACCGGTTTGGTTCAATCGTTCGTTGTGACCGGATGCGTGATGGCGCGCTGGAGGTCGAGTTCAGGAAAAGCGAGGAGGCGGCGAAAGCGTTGGACGCTACTCGCTTCGTGTTCTCCGAGGGACGGGCATCCGGCCGGAGGCTCGTCTCCATCCCGCTTACAGTGGAGCCCCACCGCTCTAAGAACTCCTCACGAGGGGTCATTAACTGCTTCGATCTGAGGGGAGTGAGCGACGAGGATATTGCGGACGGGCTCGCCGATTTCGGCGTGACAGCGGCTCGCCGCATCATGACGAAGAGAGGCACGGTCTCGACCAACAACATCATTCTGACTTTTGACTCTACTGACTTGCCGAGTGAGATTCGCGTGGGCTACGTGAAGGTTCGCGTGCGGCCTTTCGTCCCAGCGCCCATGCGCTGCTTCCGCTGCCAACGTTTCGGCCACACAAAGGACAACTGCCGAGGAAGACCCACGTGCTCCAAGTGTGCTTCGCAGGACCACACTGACGAAACCTGTGACTCGGAGACCCCCCGATGCGTCAACTGCGGAGAGGGGCAGACGCCGCACTCCGCGTATGATAGGTCTTGCCCTGCATACGTCAAGGAGAAAGAGATCATGACCATCAAGGCTACCAGAAATTTGTCTTTCAAAGAGGCCCGGGAGGTGTACAACCAGAGTCACCCGAAGACCTCGTATGCCCAGAAGGTGAGAGTCACAAACTCTACCGATGCCTCCCAGATGAGTGTAGCACAGCTCGTGCAGCTTCTCAAACGATTCGGCCTCACCGTCGTAGCCACTGGTGACTCAGCGGACACCACGGCGCCTCGTGCGCCGCCGAGCAACACAGAGCAGGCTGCTCAAGAGTCAGTGTGGGGTCCACCCAGTCCCGTTCCAGCCGCGAACGGTGATGGAGACGGCTGGGCCGTCGTCCAGCGCCGACAGGGTGGTCGGCGCCCCCCGGCGCAGGGTAAGGCGCCACCCACCCCGCCCCGCCCCCGACCGTCTACGGCGGTGCAGGAGGCTCTGCGGCGGGGGGAGGAGGAGAGGAGGGCACGTGAGGCGAGGAGGGCTCGCCTCGTCCAGAAGGCCCTCGAGGCTAAGGAAGCCTCGTCTGCCGACTCCGCCTCCGGGAGTGCCAACGCGGCCGCCGCCGCTGACACCCCGGAGACACCTGAGGCGGGGACTCGGCCCATCATGGGTCCCCCGCCGCCTCCTCCACCTCCGCAGCGGCGGCCACCACCGCCGCTGCCAGAGACGCCTGTGTCGAGGACACAGGCCGCCGCCTCGACATCCCCGTCGGGGCGGCAACAGTCCTCCGTGGCTCCAGGGCGCCTCGCCAAGCGGCAGACGCCCCCGAGCTGGTCGCCCTCGGAGGGTGACGCCCCTCGGGCGAAAAAGCCCCAGCAGGGCTCGAGCCATGCCCGATCTGCCTCCGCTGAAGGGAGGCTTCACCGAGAGGGCTCGGGGCACCCCCGCATCCGTTACGGGGGGAGCGCCTCCTCGGAGTTAGAGGACCTAGTCTAGTCTTTCAGTCTAGTCATTTCCTCTTTTATCCTTTTATCTTTTTCGCGCTATTGCGCTTTTTTACCAGGTGCATTTCTCTCTGTGTTTTTTGCCTTTTTGTGGTCAGTCAGGTATCTGCGTGCGCCTTTGCCTCATGTTATTCGCGCCCTTTTTGCGCCTTTTTAACCACGCCTTTTATTCTACAGTGGAACTGTAGAGGCCTCCGGGCCAACTACCAGGACCTACAGTCTCTTATCCGTTGGCGCACACCCCTTGTCTTAGGTCTCCAGGAGACCAAGCTAGCGCCAAACGTTACCTTTGCCATCAAGGGTTACTCAGTTTTTAGAAGAGACTTAGACACCCCGACCATTGCCCATGGAGGTGTACTTTTGGCAGTGCACCACAGTGTGCCCACACGTCAGGTTCCGCTGCAGACTCCTCTGCAGGCGGTAGCCGCTAGAGTTGATTTCAACCACCGGGAGCTGACAGTTTGTTCTTTATACCTTCCACCAGGTATAGCGCTCCCGGTGGTTGAGCTGCATCGACTTGTCGATGAGCTTCCACCTCCGGTCCTGGTAGTCGGCGATTTTAATGCCCATAGCCTGGCGTGGGGATGCGACACGACTGGCACTCGTGGTCGACTTTTAGAATCTTTTATCCGCGATGAGGCGCTGTGTATTTTAAATACAGGACAGCGCACCCATTTTACAACACCCTCCGGTCAAACATCGGCTCTGGACCTGAGCTTAGTCAGTCCGCGGCTAGCTCAGCTTTTTACCTGGTCCGTCCATGACGACCCACTCGGGAGCGACCACTTCCCAGTGTGGCTGGAGCACCAGGAGTCCCCAGTGTCAGGCAACCGTCCACCTAGGTGGAATGTTCGGAAAGCCGACTGGGGCGAATTCCAGGCCGCTGTAGAGGCTTCTGTTTTATCCAGAGCCGACCCCTCTGTGATGTCTACAGAGGATTTTACATGTTTACTCATTGACTCCGCAAACGGGTGCATACCCAAGACGTCGAGTCAGCCTCGTCGTCCTCCGGTCCCGTGGTGGACCAAGGAATGCGGAGATGCGATTCGTGCCAGGAAGCGCGCTTTTAGAAAGTTTGACCGGAGTAGTACTACTGAGAACCTCATCGCTTTTAAGAGAGCGCGGGCTTTTGCCCGACGCGTTTTAAAGGAGGCAAAGGCTGTTTCATGGCGCACTTACGTAAGTTCCTTAAACCGTTTTACTCCTACGACCCAAATATGGGCACGCATGAAGCGCATTGAAGGCCGGTTCAGCTCTGTTCCGCTTCCGGTTTTAAGAGTGAACAACACGGACATATCTCACCCTTCAGACGTCGCAGAGACGATAGGCCGTGCACTCTATCAGCGCTGCCGAGGAGAGCCGTCCTCACGACCTGCACCAGCCGCCGTGGACTTCAGCACAGCTGAAAATTTGGTGTACAACGAGCCTTTCTCTATGGCTGAGCTCACGTCTGCCATCAGCTCGTTGCGCAGCGTCTCAGAAGGTCCGGATGCTGTCCACAACGACATGCTCCGTCATCTCCCCACAGTTGCCCTCGAGGCGCTGCTAGCAACCTTCAATTCGCTTTGGGAGACTGGCACCTTCCCTGAGACCTGGCGGGAAGCCATTATCATTCCTATCTTGAAGGCTGGCAAGTCGGGATATGACCCTCTCCATTATCGGCCCATCTCTCTCACATCATCGCTTTCAAAGCTGATGGAGAAGATGGTCAATGTGCGTTTTAGCTGGTTTCTGGAACATCACGGTGTTTTTACAAACGCCCAGTGCGGTTTTAGAAAGCACTGCAGCCCTGTTGACCACATTTTAGCCCTTGATTCCGAGATACGCACCTGTTTTACTGAAAAGAAGCACCTTGGAGCACTGTTTTTTGATATTGAGGCGGCCTATGATACAGTCTTACGACACAGCATACTTTCCAAAGTATATAAGTACGGCATACGCGGCCGGATGGGCCTCTTTATCAAGAATTTTTTATCGGGTCGTCGGTTTAAAGTCCGAGTTGGCAGTGGTTTCTCGAGCAGTTTTACCCAGGAGAACGGAGTTCCCCAGGGTGGGGTGCTCAGTGTGGCGTTGTTCGCGGTGGCAATCAATGACATCGTTGACGACCTCCCGGTTTCCATCGGGAGATCGCTTTTTGTCGACGATTTTGCCATCTGGTTTGCTGCTTCAAGCGCTCGACACGCGGCTAGACAGCTGCAGCTCGCCGTAACACGTTTGGAGAGGTGGAGCGGTAAGAATGGTCTTCGTTTTTCCACAGCGAAGACCGTGGCAATGCACTTTTGCCGCCGACGTTGTGACGACCTAGCTTTGGGAATCAAGCTCTACGGACAGGTGATTCCCACTCGGCCGGTGGCGAAGTTTCTTGGGATTTATTTTGACAGTCGCTTGACGTATAAGGAACATTTTAGAACGCTTCGGGAACGGTGTTTTAAATCCCTGAACGTTTTAAAATGTGTTGCTCGCACATCTTATGGTGCGGACCGCAGGACCCTTCTTCTCCTGTACCGATCGATAGTTCGGTCGAAGCTGGATTACGCTTCTTTTGTCTACGATTCAGCGAGCCAATCCAGCAAAAAGGTCCTCGACGCAGTCCATCATGCTGCAATCCGTGTCGCCACCGGAGCATTCCGCACCTCGCCCAGCAGCAGCCTTCTTGCTGAGGCGCACGAGCCGCCTCTATCCCTACGCCGCCAGATGCTTGGGATGCGCTATGCGCTGAAACTGCGTCAGTTCCCGACGCATCCGACGTATCCGTACGTCTTCTCCACCTACTACACTCGACTTGACAGAGCGCGACAATCGCTCTGCTTTGGAGCGCGCATGAGAGGTCTCTTCTCCGCAGCCAACATAGGTTTACGTGTCGTACGACGTAGCTGGGGTACGTCCTCTCCGCCTTGGAAACACGCAAAACCTCAAGTAGATCTCTCACTCTCCGAAGTTAAGAAGGATGACTTGCTGCCTTGTGAGGCGCGAGTCAGGGCCTTGCAACACATCGTCTCGTACGATGGTTTTAACACCGTTTTTACAGACGGATCAAAAACACCTGAGGGAGTGGGATGTGCTTTTATCGCAGGTCGCGATACCCGCTCATTCTCTCTACCTTCTTTTGCCTCGGTGTTTTCATCTGAGCTAGTCGCCATCGAGAAGGCTCTGTGTTTTATCGAGGTGTCGGACGGCCTTTCTTACTTGATTTTATCGGACTCCCTAAGTAGCCTTTTGGCGTTACGGAGTTTTAATCCAGTTGACCCGATCGTTCAAGACATTTTAGCTCGACTTCAGTCAGTGGAACAATCGGGAAAATTTGTTCAGTTCTGCTGGATTCCCAGCCACGTCGGCATACACGGCAACGAGCTGGCAGATGCGGCCGCGAGGCGCGCGGCCGCAGCCTCCTGCACTCGACGTCTGCCATTGCCGGCGCGTGACCTTTATTCGGCTGTGCGATCTTTCATTCTCTCTGAGTGGCAGGCAGAGTGGAGCCTACGTGGAGGCGGAAAGCTCCGTGAGGTGAAGCCGACTTTGGAGCCATGGAGGTCTTGCTTGCAAGACAACCGGTCCAACGAGGTGATCTTGTGCAGGCTCCGAATCGGCCATACATATGCCACGCATGGCCACCTCCTCCGCGGAGACGAGCAGGCCATTTGCAACGGTTGTTCCGCGCCTCTTACCGTCGCTCACGTGCTCTTATCTTGTCCACTTTTAGAACCAGACCGGACGCGCTACCTCGGCCGCATCGCTCCGGGTACCACTGTCCGCCACCTGCTGGGTGACGAGTCACCCTGGGTTTTATCTGGCAACATTTTTTCCTTTATCCGCGCAGTCAAATTCAAAGCGATTTACTCGACCTGACCCAAATCCTCTCTAGTCTCCTTGTCTAGTCAGTTGTCTATTACGACGCTCTTGCGTTGTTTTATTTTACCCTGTCTTTTTTTTTATAAAGTCTTTTACTTTCTAGTCTTGATATCTAGAAAGTTTCTTCTTTTGAAACACTTGTTTTACTAGCGCGACGTTATGGGCGCAAAATGACCTTTGCAGTCGACGCGCCCTAAAGCCCCAATAAACAAACAAACAACACTATTCTTTTGTTTGATACAGGATGAGCGACAGCTGACTTTACCTTCATCGCAACGTATTATTACTAGCTTGAAGTTCGACATGATTAGTTTGATGCCGAAACAGGTGCCAGAATTACATTTATTTACCGTAAATTAAATGATGAACTCCATCGGAAGTAAATCGAATAGGCACAGCCGTGTCTTCCGTAATAGCTCTCCGTTTGTGCCTATATTTGACCGTTTGGTGTGCCTCCTCTTCTGTCCCATCACAGACATTGTGTCGTGTCCCTCTACGTCCTGTGTTTCTCTGTTTCTCTATGCCGTCTCCGTTTTTGCCGTGCTGAGCTGCCTGTGTCCGCCATGCTGACTGTTGTGTCTCACGGTGTCATATTTCAGTGCCACGCCTCGTCTGTTTTGTTTTCTCTCAGTTCCTAGCCCATGCTTCTTACGTAATCGTATCGATAGCTGTCGTGCTGTATCCGTGTCGTTTATCCGTGTTGTGTCTCCGTGCCCTTCCTTTTAATGTTCGTGGCCGTTGTGCCATATCTGAACCTTCAAATAGTGCATCTCCGTGTGCCGTCGTACCGTGTCTCCTTGCCCCGCCGTTTGGTTTCTCAGTGTTTCGCCGTGTGGTGCCTTATAAACTGCCGCTCGATGTCTCAAGATCCTGTCGTTCTGTGGCTCAGTATCTCGCCATGCTGCGTCCCCGTGTCACGCCATAGTCCCTACCGTGTTCTTTTTTCCCTGACACCTCGCATGCTCCTCTGGCCCCCAGTTCGTGTCTCAGTATCCCACTGCACGGGGTGCCTCGTTCCCAGATGTACCAGCTCACCCTGCCATGTGTCCCTTAGTTCGTGTCTCAGTGTCCCGCCCGTGCCACCTCCCGTGATGCACCAGCTGACACCCCCCCTCCCCCCAGTTCGTGTCTGCGCTGGAGCAGTACGAGCAGCTGGTGCTGGCGCAGCTGACCCAGGTGCTGGACGGACGCCGTCGCGTCACCACCGCTGACGTCCTGGAGCTGCTGCGGCGCTCCGGCGTGGCGCCGACCGTGGCCGACGTGCGGCGACTGGTGCGGATCCACCTGCCGCTGGAGGCGCAGCGCGAGCTGGTGCGGGTCACGGAGGCCGGCGGACTCTACCCGGCCAATGATCCGCTCAGCGAGGAGTGAGCCCGCGTAGTCGGCGGGGTGACAGTGTTGGAGGAACTGGGAGAGGATGGAACTGAAAGGGAGTTAGGTGGTGCGGTGGTAAAGCTATGAAGAGCTCCTTATGGACTTATAGTGTATAGTATGTTTTCAGTGACCTCTGGGGCTCTGACTTGGGGCTCGGAGCAGAGCTTCCTGTGGCGCCCTGGCTGTAGAACAGGCCCGTTGGCCATTCGGACGCCGTATGTGAAGTAGCTGCTGGAACTTAGGGGCCTGAGTCGGGTGTGTCCGGTCCACTTAGCCCCAGATTCTGTGTCCTAACACGACCACGCTGGGACTTGAGCGATTGATCGTAAGTCGTCAATTATGAGAAGTTTTGTCTTCTTTTCGGCATGAAATGTGGAGTGTGAGATACTGCGCCGATCTGGTGAGTTGTGACAAACGGTCCCATCTATTTTAGTCCACTTCTCTGGTGCGACAGTGCTTGTAATAAATAGCTGTTTCTGTTCGACGCATTTTATGCCATTTGTCGGGTCCTCCCTGAAGCGTGTGCATCGCTTAGCTGTTGGGGGAATGAATGCACAGCAGTTAGATCTCAGTGGTATGAGCGTATTTTCGGCAAATACTTGCATGATAAAAGTTTTATTGCAAGGCGATGCCGTCACTCAAAGGTGGTGTAAAGGTCGAAACTGGGCTCGGAAAAGCGAATCATACTGTAGCGAATGAACTGCAAGTGCAAACGGAGCCCAGAGATGGCCCAAAGGCCATTGTGGTTTTATTCTACAGATGTGATATTGCTTTGATTGAGGGTTTTGAATTTTAACATTTCAGCTAACGACCCCTCTACACTGAGCTCAACTTCATCATGAACATCTGTAGATAATTCAGTAAAAGAATAACTTACATGGAAATGGAAACCTATAGAGGAAAAAAGCTACCAAATGGTGGCTTCAAAAAAGACATACATTTATTGCGCAGCTGATACGAAAGTGAAATAATCGTCCGCGCGCGTTTGCGTTGATGTTGATGTTGATGTTTTTGGGCCTTTGGTGGTAGGATCGTTCGGTATGAAATGTAGCTAAAATTTACCGTTAATTCGTGATTTTTTTTGTCATTTGTCAGTATCTAACTTCTATTAATCTGCAGATACCTGATGCTGTGTGGTAAAGTAAATGGGACGAGCTTTTCCTGATCGTATTACCCACCAAAATTTAAAATCAATCTGCTTATTGTGAAGACTGCAGACATGAGACAGGGGGGAAAGCTAGATGTGATTATAAATCCTCTATCTTCTTCTTCTTGTGTAGTCGGCTCTATCCAATGGATGCAATCCTTAGCCTTTTAAACACTTAAACACTACCGTGTTATAGGCGCCGTGCCAGAGAATCGAAGGATGGGTTTGGTACCCGCGTTTCGGTGTTGTTTTTGCCACTTTTGCTTGTAGTTTATGTACATTTTCAGGGGTAAGTGATTGTATCCACAATTTTCTAGCTCGATCTATTGTTTCTGACATTGTGATGTGGCTTTCATTCAATATAGTCTGGGGTGCAAAAGAGTGATTTGACCAAGGATGGTCATAGAATTTCGGCCTGTCTCCGTTTCTCATTTATTTCGACCTGTTTTGCTATTAATGAGTTGAGAGATCCATGTAAATGATTATTTTAGCTCATTGACATATCATTCTCTGATCTGTTTGGCAACATTAACCAAACAAATAGTTTTTGAAGATCAATGATTGTTTCTTCCAATGGACTTTCAAACCAAAGCAGTAGGCAATTTTCAATGTTTCTTTTAGCTTTAACTGCTCTGAGGGGTTAGCACTTAGCAGTATGGATCTATCAGGACAAGGCACACTGAGCTGGGACACTCATGCTGCATCAGTCATACAATGCTTTTTCAGCATACTCAGTGGTGTGTCACTTCTGGAGCCACCTGCCATCGTCCGTTCTCTCCGTGCTGGTCACGCTCTGGTCCTCTCGCAGGTCCGGTACTGCATGACGGTGTATGGCAACGGCTCAAAGAAGAACCTTGCCAAAATTCAGGAAGTTATTGATTATGGGGTAAAAATGATGTTGGGCCGCAAGAAGCGTGAACATGTATCCCACATGCGTGAGGAGCTGGGGTGGCACAGCGCGGAGAAACTTGCATCTTATCACACTCTGTCTCGTACACAAGGTGTGCAATCACGGCGAGCCCCAAGCTTTAGCCGGTGGCGGATAGGCGCGAAGCCATGGGTACACTGGCCAGGACGACTCGTCAGGACCGCGACCTCTATTGTCTATGTGCCCCGGTCACGTACCGAAATGGGGAATAGGCGCTTCTGTTGTCGCGGTCCTGCTCTCTTCAACTCACTACCATCGATACTGACTGAGCTACCTGTGACCGCGTTCCCTCACCACCTCAAACGTTACCTATCTGAACCACTGGACTAATGTTTACTTTTACATACGCCGTACTGTGACGTTTTATCGATTTGACCTATTCACCCGTTTGCGTGTATTTCCACCCCAAACTTTTTATGACTTTGTATCTTTGATGAGAGGTAGTAATAGCCAGAAGCACTGTGGATCGCCTTATAAATGGCTATGTCTATGTTTATGCCTATGACATGAAGGTGCCTCACTTAGTACTAAATTAAATGTGTATATGCATTGACACTGCAGCTGGGTTGGTTATTACAGATATTGTTATACCACCTCTCAACACACCTCTGAGATTTGACATTGGGAAGATATGCGATCCAAGCCGAAGCCACGCTCGGCGGCCCGAGGTCGCGGACGGGGCCGTGGTGCAGTAGTGCGGTACAAGGCAGTCGCCCCCCAAACAGGAGCAGGAGACTCCAAACAGGTGGTGCAAAAAGGTGAGCTTGCTGCGCACTGAAGTCATTACATGATCGCTGTGAATATTGTATTCCACACTCAGTTGCAAATGGAAAATGACCAATGAGTTAGTTTGACAAATTTGTGTTATGCTGTTCATTAACCTCTTTTTACATTAGCACTGGAGTCTGTCATTGATTTTATTCCCGCTAGTTTTTACAAACTTGTGTTATGCTGTTCATTAACCTCTTTTTACATTAGCACTGGATTCTGACATTGGTTTTACTTCCGCTGACAGCGTCCAGCGGTGTGCCCGTCTGACGCCGACCCTCTGCCCCCAGAGGCCGGTGGTGCTGTGCTCCACGAGTACCCGCTAACGCCGACTCCGCTACCGGTGCGCGCGCAGCGGCAGACCCGGCGCAGCGAGGCTGGCTTCCGACCGCGCATTGTTGAGTTAGACCCAGTGACCGACCGCACTCTGCACCCGACCCCGGCGGTAAGTTCTGCGCGGCGCCGGATGAGGACGACCTGTCAATGTTGCTGCTGCTTCTGGCGATTATTGTAAAGGTTGGGGGGGGGGGGTGGCTTGGGAGACTGTTGAAACTTCGGAACACATTTGAGACATGTGAGTGAGTTGTTGCAGCTGTTCGCCAGATCGTAAATTGTATCACCATATATGACTTCGGCTCGATGCTTTCTGTGACGAACTGCAGTACCGTCGCTAGCTTGTGCGATAAGCGTCAAGTTAATGTTCCTTGGAGATCTCTAACTCAAAGTCCCTCACCCCTCCCTTTCTCTATGACTTTCTTTCACTCACTCGTCCCCTTTCTATCTCTCTCCCGTCAGCAGCCGCCGTCGAGCGTGGGTCGGCGCTCCAGCGTGCAGAGCCGCCTGTCGTCCGTGCCGAGTTTCTCTCCGGGTGGTGTTGTCACCAGCACGCGCCTGGAGAGTCCGGCCGTGCAGGCTCCCCGCTCCAGTGTTTCCCAGTTCGTCAAGCCGCGCACCCCGCAGAAGCGGCGCAGCGACCGACCGGCGGCCGTCGATCTGCCGCCGACCCTGACACCGACACCTACACCGCCGCCGCCGCCGACGGAGCAGGAGCAGCAGCAACAGGAGGGGTGAGTGCTCCTGTGGTGGACAGTTGGGGTCGGTGCGTTTGAGGATCGATGGCGTTAAGGATCGACGAGTGTCGAGTTTGAGCGTCAAGCCATGGGATAATCCAGGCTGTTTCCAGGTAACAACTGACACAAGCTAAGTGATTTTGATGTGATTACCACATACCAGCGATTCAGCAGTTTATTGTCAGATACTCTTGCTTGTATGCCGCCTGCTTATCAAGTTGACATCGTTATTGGATTCATTTGAGTCAATGGTAGTGTACTCTACTCTGCCAGATTAGCTTATATTGTTGGTCATGGCGTATTCCACTGCCTTATCGCACTCAGACAGTCTTCCCCTCGTATTCCGCCCACTAGCTGCTGAAGCCTCTGTATATGATTCGCGGTTCCACCCCCGTAACTCCCACTGACGGTCAGTCCCTGTCTACAGTGGCGACACACCCCAGGCCAGTGGCGAACCCACGGCAAACAGCTGGGAAACGCCGAAGACGCGGCGCTCGGCGACCAAGTCAGCCTCCTCCTCTGCCTCCAACAATGGTGAGAGCACAGGCCGAGGCATACTGCAGCGAGTCGCTTTTCGGACAGTCTTTTCGGACAGTCACGCCTTCTTAGTTAAGATTGATAACGAATTTGTTATCTGATAGGTGTAACGTTGCAGCCGTGCAGCTATTTTGAAGTGCTTTTTGAAGGTACCTAGCTTTATATTTGCTATTTAAATGATTCTTTGCTTCGTTCAACGGCATTTGGGCACCTAACGGCATTTGGGTCATTTCAGATAAGTAATTGAAATAAAGAAGCATGCATCTTACGCTTAAATAGCATTGAATAGAACTCGCTTACCGATCTTTCGTTAAAAAGAATCGCTCGTATCCTTGGTGTGCTATAGTAAAAGCCACTCGCACTTGACGTGACTTGGCACGACAGCGGCCCATTTAAAACGCATTTGCTCTTTCAGAGACACCGCCAACCGCCCAGAACACAAAGATATCGGCCAAGCAGGTGCTGAGCGGCAATCGCTCCTCAGCACACGGCTCCTCTGGTCGCCGCGACCTCGGCGGATCAAGGGCGGGCTCCACCCCGGCGGTCCGGGGCGGCCGCTCGACCAGTCGGGGCCGGGGCCGCGGCGCCGCCTCCCGCTCCCGCAGCCGCACCGACCGAGACGAGGAGTCCGATAAGGAGAACGAGGAGGAGGAGCGGGATCAGGAGTCCGGAGAGTCCGCCGCGGAGTCGGAGGATGCGGAGCAGCTGGAGCAGACCTTCAACGACTCTGTGGACGACCCGTCGTTCCATCCTCCCGATGAGCCTGAGTCGGGGGGTAGCCGCGGCCGGAGGAATAACTCCCGAGTGGCCCACAGTCTGACCTCGGCGACGGGGCGCGCGAACGGGACAGCGGCGTCTAGGGCTGCCGGGGCCAACGCCTCAAAGGCGTCCAAAGGGAGGCCGTCCACCGCGGCAGCAGCACCCGATAAGGGCAAGAAGTCGACACGCAAGTCCAAGGATACGACGGTCAGTATGGGATTTTTTACTGTAAACGTACTGCTCAATAATCGACCTTATGTAGTCTAAAATGCGCGGGTGTCTCACAAGTTAGTGCTCTTACAGCCCGTCACTCAAACTTCAATATTAATTTAAATCACCAGTTACTTTTAACTCGCTTTATACGGCTCGCACTCGTACGTTTCACTAGAGTTTCTGGCACATACCCTCACCAGCTCAACCTTCCACCGCCAGGCAGCCAAGTCCCGTCGCTCCACCAACCACCCGGCTCTGAGCGCCGAGTCCCCTCCGGCGCGCCGCGGGGGTCGCCGGTCGGCCGGCCAGCGCCGCTCCACGGCCCTCCGGTGTCCTCTGACGGTGCGCGTGGCCGGACGGACCCGCACCGTCGCCGCCGACAACCGCGCCGACATGCTGGAGACCGCCGAGGACCTGGTGGAAGCGGCCCGCAGCCGGCCGCTTCACTGCTACGGCGACGTCGGCAAGTTCACCTGGGACCTGGATCAGTGTGTTATCGACCTGATGGCGCTGAAGGAGACGGGCCGGTACGGCGCACCCAAGCTGCTGAGGGCTGTGAAGAAGAACCGCACGGCCGTCGAGCTGCTGCTGAACCCAGTGAAGGTGAGGGGCGCGATACGAGGGCTGGGAGTGTCTTTAGTGGGGAGTGATTGTTTGAACCATGTCTAGATCAGGCGGCGGGTGTGTCAGATCTCAGTAATTCCTCTTCTCAGCAGTAGTGATTTGATTGGATTAAGCAATTCTACTAACTGGTTGATTCGCATTCTGCCCGGTTAGATGGAACATGGGTTTTTAACTTTTTTAACCCACGCCCGCACAGGGGGGGGGGGGGGGGTGTTGCAACCCGCCCCAAGGTTTTTCGCAAATAACTTAGGTAAAAAGCGACCAATCGCAACGAAACTTTCAGTTCCCTCGCGTTGATCAATTTTACACCTACCCTGCAAATTTCATGACCCTGACCCACTTGACTTTTGACCTGTGACCTATTTCCGAGACCATGTTTCGCCGGAATCCCGATTCGGCGTATGTTGGCTCGCATTAGCCGCGCGTTTGCAGTCTTTTCGTGGTTTCAAGCGTTTAAATATGTGATTTGATGTTGCTCCCATGCATTAGGGTGGATGTCAAGGTCACCTGAAGGTCAGGTCAGGTCATTGACCTTTGATGACCTCGGTCCACTTTATCGAATTTTACATGTTTCTATGCTAGTTTTTGGAGCTAGTTTCGAATTTAGCAACCATTTGAACATTTACGAAGTAGTTTTGGTGCCTTCGTAACATATTACGAAGCTGTCTGAGCCCAGAGGCGGTTGACACGTATATACTGCGAATACCCGTCAGGACCCCTACTGGTTGTTCTGACCTGACCTGACCCGACCTGGTCTAAATGCTTAAAGACATCATCTATGATCAAAACTAACATGATATTTGTGATCAGCACCCCGAAAACCTCCTCAGCAGCCACACTTACGACGTTTTAACAGGTCCCGATTTTCCCGACTTTTGGATCACTGACCTGACTGACCTGGAAGGTCAACCGATGACCTAGGACTTAAAAAATCGGGTATCATTGGCTTCCTCTCGTCACGGGCAGCTCGCTCGTTTTTTTCCGCGAAGCTCTAGCTCGATCGGGGGCCAAACACGAGGGGGGTCGTACCCCCCCCCCCCCTTGTGCCGTCGAAGGACGCAAAATGGCCATTGCCGGCGAGGGTTGATGCTTTCGTTTTCATGTACGTCGTAGGACTGACTTATGATCCCAACCTGTCAGGTGGAACTAAGAAGTGTTCACTTTCAGGAAGTTGGAACTGATGTTTGTAGATCTCGTGTCGTACGATATAGCTGCCAACTGGTGGACATGCCGTATTTAAGCCCTTCCAGGAGGAGCTGATGTGTTCTGTAGCACGTGATATTTACTCTCTTGTCCCCCTTCCAGGTGGAGCTAATGTGTTTTGTAGCAGGTGATATTTACTCTCTTGTCCCCCTTCCAGGTTGAGCTAATGTGTTTTGTAGCAGGTGATATTTACTCTCTTGTCCCCCTTCCAGGTGGAGCTAATGTGTTCTAGCAGGTGATATTTACTCTCCTGTCCCCCTTCCAGGTGGAGCTAATGTGTTCTGTAGCAGGTGATATTTACTCTCTTGGCCCCCTTCCAGGTGGAGCTAATGTGTTATGTAGCAGGTGATATTTACTCTCTTGTCCCCCCTTCCAGGTGGAGCTAATGTGTTATATAGCAGGTGATATTTACTCTCTTGTCCCCCTTCCAGGTGGAGCTGGTAGAACTGTACAATAAGGCGTACAAGGAAGACGCCGACCGGCGCCGGGACGAAGCCGTGCGCGCCTTCCTCTACGACGACGATTCCGACGAGTAGTCTTCCAGAAGTGCCTTCACCAGCTCAGTGCCACCCAGCGACTGTTTGTGCCTTTGGACACTGGATTATTGTTCTTGTAGTGTTTTATCATGCGCAATGAAGTGTAGAAGTGTAAGTGAACCGTCTGGATGCACGGATTCAGCGAAAAGCGATGGTTGTTTCGTGGTTAGGTTGCGCTGGGAAAGATGGGACCAACGACCGTCATTCCAGTGTAAGGTTTGCTCAGCAAGAGATCTGTGGCAAACGGGAAGTATTTTTATGTACCTACATGTTGTAACTTTGCCTTTGGTGGATGCAGAGGAGCTGCTGTTGAGTGTTTTTCATAATATGTAACTGTAAAATAGTGACGCTTGGCGTGGCCAACCATGAAGAGCTGCACTGTGCCGTTAGTTTTGCTATAAATACAATTACGCTATTATCAGTAAGCCCTTGACCGACCAGAGGTCCAGAATTCCATCCCTTGGTAGGTAAAGACGAGATCAACGCCCTGGAGACTTTAGGGCCACATATCTGTAAGTCTCACTAACGTTCAGACACTTTGCAAAAATAACTTAAAGGAAAAGGGCCACCTTCGTGAAATATGAAGATATCGTTGTTTTTCATTTTGACATTATTATTTTTCATTTTCTTTTTAAAACTGGTGCCAGAAGTGCACAATTCGCGAAAAAGTATTTAAAACTATTTAACATATTGGTACTATGTTGATACCAAGGCCATATAAGTTGATACTCTCTACGGCACCTACTGTATGATGGCATAGCGATGACGTCACACTCAAGCCAATCAGCGTTCAGGAGACAGACTCGTCGGATTGTGTCAGGTAAGCTGATTGGTTAAAGCTGAGCTGGTTGGAGCTGATTGGTAAAAAACCAAAGCCTCGCCGCGGGTGGCTGTATTGTCGGATAAGAACGCATTCCTGGGATAAGGACGCATTCCTGGCGTATTTTCTTTTAAAATTGCCGATAACTACGAATGGAGGCCGAAATCGGCCGTAAGGAGGTAGACAGACTGGTTTTCGGACACGGGCTACAAGATGGCTATCTCAGTTTCAATCCCCATGTTAAAGGTGGCCCTTTTCCTTTAAACGATTCGGCCCTCGGGAAATTCGCACCCACATCTGCTGACAGATGACAATGGTCACATCGAGCTTACGTTCACAAACAGTGGAATGCTTATTCAGCGCCGCAGAATATCAGGAATGCGGTAACACTTCGCACTAAGTAAAGCGCACTTGACTTAACGGAACTGCTTCCAAATGGTGACGACGTCATTTGCAATTCTGTGCAAAACTGGGCATCCGTTTACCAGTAGGTTCAGTAACTATCTAAACATTGCATCTATTATATGATCCTGTCCTGATAATGTTATATCTACTGTATGTAAGTGTGAGTGTGTATCAGCTCTGCCGGCGGTGTTCCTACAGTTCCCGATCGTACTCCCGCGTCACCGTTACTTCGCCACCCGTGTCGCCGTCGCCTTGGATCCCCGGGTAGCTCTCCCTGGAGCCGCCTAGATCCCAACACGTCCGTGTGGAGGCAAGGTAACTACGGCTGCAGCTGACCCGTGAGCTGCACCACCACTCTCCCCAGCACCCTCCCCACTCCTCACCGTCACACACAGGGCGGTTCGCGCGGCGCGGGATGTATTGGACAATGAATCAGTGTTCGACACCGTGCGCAGCCGCCGCCTTACGCTGCTGCACCAGCACCTGACCGAGCTCCTCGCGCTTCCTCTTGCCGCGCACGTGGCCGCCCAGCTTCTTCTTGAGGAACTTGAGCGCGCGCTTGTCGCGCGAGATCCTGAGCAGCTCCATGGCGCGCTTTTCGTAGGGCGCGAAGCCGACCACCTCGCGCACCAGGTCGCGCACGAACTTGTTGTGCTTGGTGTTCACCTGCAGAGAAACAAATCCACTTGTTAGGGGAGAGCAATGCTATGCAGCAGACATGGCGAGGGAAACTGCTGGACCGATAAATCACAAAACGGATCAAGTTGATGCATTTGCCATGGAGTGGTGCGTGGAGTACCTCTGCTATCATTGTGGGCTCGGACAGGGTCAGACTCTGTCAGCTTGTAGCTTTGATGTCGTCAGGTCGGCCAACGGGGATGGTATCCACTGGGTAGACCAATTACCTATTAGAGGTTCCCTGCTCCTGCCACCCTGCACAGTATTCACTCAGCCACTGGCAAGGGAATTTTAGAAGTGTATGCTCGCACTGAATCCTGCTGAAAATTGAAATCATTATGCATCCCACCTGCTACAGGTACTACCCTGTAGCATTGATTTGACCAATGCTACACTGATTTGACGGTCATTGATTATGACCGTCCTGCGTCATAATCAATGATAGAGTGGAATAATGTACGAGAACCTCATTCTACCTTTTGCATGCATTTTCAGATGGCTTTAAAAGACTGCCTGTTGACCTTTTCTGCCATTAACATTTACAGTCAACTAAGTTGACTTTTTGATGATTTTTTGGCCATATGTTTTTACTCTAATCTTGCCTTACATTTCCATTACATTCTTATCTAGTAATGATTTTTTGGCCATATGTTTTTACTCTAATCTTGCCTTACATTTCCATTACATTCTTATCTAGTAATATCATTGCATTGTCAAGCAGCAAAATTAGCCACAAAGTCCTAAACCAGGCACACAATTGTTTTTGACCTTGTGATTGTGAATGTGAACGATCAAACTAGTGTAACATCCTGTAGCACAGTTTACAGATTGTTGGACTCTGATGGTCAGATCTTGAGTTTGAGTCGCTCAAGTGCTTGCTATATGAAAGTGACAGGGATGGTTTTGATCAATTGTGCTCAAATTTGGTATATAGTTATGCAGGGAGTGGAAAGTAGGGTGCCATGCAAATGTCAGATACGACCAAGTTTACATATACACACGAGCACGGTGACCCTCCAAGATCTCAAGAACAGGGCCAATTGCACTCAAATTTGGCACACTTCTATAGATCGGTTAGTAGTGCCATGCACAAGTCAGTTGGAGGCACCCCCTTCCAGTCCCACTAGCTCCTCACATGCAGCCCAGGAGTCACTCCCTCACTCAGTTGTTGAACCCTAAAGGTGTCTACTAGTAAAATGGGTATCAAATCTTATCAAGAAAACCTGTTAAAGAAACAAAATAATAAGCATATTATAGGTTACCTCTCACAGGCTAGTATAGCTTTATGAAAAAAGCAATAGCATCAAGAACTACAAGCAAACTAAGCACAAACTCTTAACTAAGCACAAACTCATTACAGGATGACACGTCCTAGTGCAGAGCCAAGAACAATGGGATGTGGACGTTGATACTTACACCCTTGGTAGAGGCAGGCCTGGGCTTTAGTGTCTTCTTGGTCACTGGGAATCCCTTCTTCAGACCAACAGCAATGCTGTAGGGAGCCACCTGGGCCTTGGGCTTCTTACGGCTCCCAATCTTCTCTGCCTTAGTCTTCTTGGCCATTTTGTCTGAAATAGGAAAAAAACATGATCAATGGCAGAACTTCTACACATGAATGGCTGGAGAAATCAATGAAGCTTGTAACCTGCTCTTGTTAATATAATTGCAAACATGAAAAACTGTTCCTGCGGGATAGCACTTCTAGTCATCTTTTTACCTTTCTGAAAGGAGAAAAATATTAACACCCTTCTATTATTAAAAGTCCAAAAAAATAATTGTGCAGCTTTAAAAGAAAACTGGGAATCTGCGCAGTCATGCAAATCATCCGTTACAAAGAGCAGCATGAATGTTGGCAATCAGGCATAACTCTTACGTCCAAACTTCAGTTTAGAGCAGCAGCCAAGGCACATATACAGCATAATTTGCAATAGCATCCCAGTTTTGCAGCTAAGCAGCTCAAAAAGTGAGGCTTGGAATATCCTATTTTTAGAAATGCACAACATCTAGGATTTAAAGACAAAGGAACATCCCTCTATCCACTTTGAAGCAGCAAAACTCCCAGGTCCTTACACTAATAGCTGCTTTGTTTTTGTTGTACATAAATATGGCAGATGGAGACAATCAAATTTTTTTTATCAAATTCCTGGTAATTTGGCTATTGAATGTAAGATTATAAAGGTAAACCTAGCTGAATAAAACCATTGGCTGATGGGATAATGGTTGCTTTGAAAACTAATTGGCAAACATAATAAATACAAAAACGTGTTCACCTATTTTGTGACCCAGAATTTTGGAGTGTTAAAAATGACTTGTTAAAAGCCTAAATGCTACCTTAACACCACTCAAAACAAGGAGAAAAATCCACGCAATCGTTTGACACAGACGCGCCATTAATGTGTCATCTGGCTTGTTGTCAAAATAAGTCAAAATCGAAGGCTGATCGCCAGAGTGCATTCGTGTAAATCGACATGAAATACTTTCTTTCATTTAATCATATGAATATCACACACCGTTTCTTCGATGTAATCGAATAAAACTTACCAAACTTCAGCCTCCTGTTTACGCAGGAAACCGAGATTGTTAAAGGACGTTGCCATGTGCTGAAACCCAAAGTATTATTTTATCAACTTTATTGACACTTTTGCGAGTTTAACCATTTGAATAATTCTTAAGAATGATTCAAAATGGTGAAATGAAGTGAATCATAAAAAAGAGGATAAATTATATTGAGAAACCACCATGAAAACACGAATCAAAATTAGCAGAAAATAAAGGAATATGGTAGCAATATTGCAGTAATTTTTTTTTAGTAAATATGGCGCAGCTAGGACATTCAACAAAATGTAAACAAAAATGATTACATAAGGAAAATACAGATTGAGATAGGACGATCACAAAGCAGGGCGTTATAACAGAATTCTGAATAACTGAATTCAAGGCGTTATAACAGTGTTTTTATATAGTTACCTTGACTTAACTTTGAAGAGGCTCCGATATTGGTATGAATGACTTCTTTGAATATCCATTGATATTATCTGTCTATGTCATTGGTATTTCATTACAATTATCAAATTAATTCATTTTTTTTGAAATGCATTTGCATGTTGATACCTTACCTTACCTTAATTTGATCGGAATTTAGAGGCTACTATGCCTGTAGGGAACCGTTCTCATCGAGCTCGTAACATGTGGGACTTGTCTAACTCCTGTCAGGTATCAGATACCTGATGTTTGCCCAATGGGCGTCCAGTCTTGATTTGAACTGTTCGACAGAGACCAGTCGGTGACACTACAGGGAAATAAGCTAAAATTAGAGCGCTCTATTTATTGCTCCCGCTACTTCACCGTCTCCCATAGGGTCCTGTGTTGAGCTGGTGTCTAGGCTCTAAAAATGACGCCGATTTTTGCACCCTTCTCACGAAAACCGCTCGGACCGCCTGGAAACTAATTGTTCCGCTCTAAAAATTTCATGATCGACGGGAAAATGAACGAGGAAAAGATTGGTCCTGAAATAATTCTGAACTCCCTGTAGAACATATCGAAATATGGCTGCAAACTAGGAGCATGTCAAAATCGACAAAACAATACAAATAAATTTCCCGGGATTTTTTTATTTTCCATGCATCTGTGTATGAAATCAGTCGGTTTTTCGGAAAGATCGTCTTCTTTTTAATAAATAATTCCATAATTGCAATCGAGAAAAAAAAAACATTTCTGCTGTGACAGCAGTTTTGGCATTGTGCCAGTAGTGTGGCGTGCGCGGTGCTGCGTGGTCGTCGGGACGGAGTTGTGAGTATTTTCGGTGTTTTAAATGGTTGATGGCCATTTGAACCAGCTTTATATTATTTCCTACCAATTTTTGCATCAAATTTTTGCTTTGAATGACCATTGAAACCCCTTATCTCTTCATGAAACACGATCATATTCATCGTCGACGAAAATGGCGCGGGACTCCATGTGCGTTTCGATCGAAATAAATCGTAAATTAAATAATATTCGTTGATAAGTATCATATTCTAGTGACACGTTTTCATAGAATAAGGCATAAACTTTGCAAGGAAGTCAACATTGGATAATTGGATTCTTATTTTGCTCACATATCCTTGTAGTAGTCAAATGGCTCAATTGTTAGATAAATGTAAGTATATGTTTTGGCTTGATGTTTGCTGTGAAACCACCCAGCCACTTGCTAGTTGAGTGGTTTTCTGATAATAACCTGATAATCATTTCTCCTTTTCCTTAAAGAAACTAAAATTCTTTTCAAAGTAACCCATTTTTAGGAAAGGCGGCTTGCTCATTGACATTTCATGTTCTTGTTTTGTTATTGCTGGCAGTATTTTGATACAATAATGCAATATGAATTGTGTTTTGTAATAATAAAACCTAAGACAAACTTAGTCAATGCGTCAATCAAACACCCAACAGAAAGATTGTGAGTCCTTGTGACGTGAAGTAGAATATTCTATGAATGTGTTTTATAGAATATGCCAAATTCTAAATTAATTTATTATTTGATACTGATAGCTGAGCATGTGAATTATGCCACAATATAATTTCATTTTCTGGTATTGAAATAGCCGGCAGTATTTTACTTCAACAAATGTAATATACATGGAATACATGTTGTTATGTTATGTTAAAAGTTTAATAACAGCCAACAGAAGGGGCTGTTTCAGCAGATAATGTTTGTACCTTATGCATTACCTTTCTTTTCTGCAGGACCATGCTTCCGCTGGGTGGTCGACATTTGCCTCCTGAAGAAGTTGAGCAACATGAAGACCACCAGATGAGGTGTCTGCAGTTCATGTGGAACTCTGCAGACTACAAGTGTTATGCCAACCACAACCAAAGTGCTGTGATCATGGAGGCATGAACCTCATAACAACACTTCAGATTTGCAGTTGTACCAAAGTGTGATTCAAACCACCTGTGGCATCTCACTCAATGCGTGAACAGTGTGATCATTGTGCAATGTGCAGTGTTCAGCTGCAACTAAGACATATTTTATTAGTGACTTGTTTTGCAATTAGCCACCAAAAGCATTTTTTGGGCTGGCTGCTGTAATATGTTGTGCACTGCGCAATATTGGTAGTGTTTTGTCACTTGTCAAGTTGTCAGTTGTGCATGTTGCATGTTTCTCTGCCCTCGGCCCTCATTATCAGCTAAGTGGTGAATTGACATCACTCAGTCTCCCCAGATCTCCATTGACTGTCTGTCAACCACCTAACTTGAGATGGTATTTATTTGCTAATAGTGTCAGAAAGGAAGTGATTGTAGACATTTTTTAGGAATATGAGCTCCGTTTCATGCGTGTTCCAGTGGTCATTTTGTCACATGTCCCATAGTGTAATAAATGGAAACTGTTGTTCCCTTTTGAACAGGGATGCGGAGCCGTGGAAATTTCAGACGGCTCCGGCTCCGGCTCCGGCTCCGGAGAAAAAAATCGGCTCCGGCTCCGGCTCCGGCTCCGGGTGAAATGTTATGGCGGCTCCGGCTCCGGCTCCGGCTCCGAGTAAAATGGTCCGGCTCCGGCGGCTCCGGCTCCGGCGGCTCCGGCTCCGACTCAGTACATCCCCTATGCAATCAATTAAATACGGGTGGAAGAAAAATTGGATTGGTTATACGCGTTACTCTTTGCCATGACCGGCTCATGACCGTGTCCCCGCGCAAACGCACCTCGGAGAGAACTGGCAGAACAAAGGACTAGGAAGCGATGGCATTGGAAACGCAGTCGCCGCGAATCGGAGTTCACTGAACCATCGTAAGCTGACACCCGTCTCGGCAGAGACGGTGCTGGGAGTCGCAGTCCACTGCACTGGCTTGAAAACAATGGCCGTCACCTGATGACCGGTCCTCATGTTCTGGGGATGCAGTAGACGTGGGGGGGGGGGGGGGGAGGAGCAGACAGGAAGTTGATTGCGTACTGTGGGATACTGGGGATATTCGGCTTTTTTCATTCACTTGATGGCCCATGACGTAAGTACATACCATATGTTTCACTGCCTTGTACTGTCAAACCGAACTAGGTCAATTATTTTTTTCCTCTTCAAAAAATAAAAAGGAGCCGGAGTCGCCCCCTTTTTTGGCGGCTCCGGCTCCGGCTCCGGCTCCGGTCTAGATTGTTTCACGGCTCCGGCTCCGGCTCCGGCTCTGGGCAAAATATGCCGGCTCCGGCGGCTCCGGCTCCGACTCCGGCTCCGGCTCCGCATCCCTGCTTTTGAAGGTACTCGCGGATGCAGAAAGCGTTGGGCCTAATTAATTAGAAATCTAATTAGAAAGCGTTGGGCGCACCCTCCTATCAGCGACGCACGAAATCGACAAATATCATCCTTCTTAGAACAGGAGGAAACGAAAACTTGTGAACATAGCTGTACCTACAACAGTGCATAAGGAATTGAAATTCTGGGAGTTTTTGAAATTCGGAGAAACTCAAGTTGTCGACAAGTATGCCCCCTTGTACGTCAAAGACCGCTTAAAAAACAAACGTCTACAAATGAAGGCAGTATTCGTATGTTCGTTGTAATTGCAGCAGCCTAGCAACATGCATTGCGGTCCGATGGCGAATTACACTCGTGCTCAAAAACTATGCCGGTAACTGCCAATGCACTTAGGTCATAGGTGAGGAGAGGAAGGGTTATGTCAAATGTCAACATCATAGAAATGGCTTCATCTATTGAGCTGTGCCTATTGTACATAATTCAACCAATCTATGCATTTCGTTTCTTGCAATCTACTCATGCTTTCACTCCAGCTTCAGAGTAATCATCCCATATTGTGCGTCTTAAGATATTGATTTCTATGGCGGTTTGCAATTGCTAGCCACGTCTTACCTCAGTTTGGTGGCCCCGCATCGGCCCACTCGGCCTTGACTCGGCCGCTCTAAAATTGACTTGCGGAGGAGGATGTTGGCTTTTATTTTAGCTTCTCCGCTGACTGCGGGGAGCGCCGTCGCCGAGGTAGGAGCAATAATTAGCTTATGTTTGGGACTAATTTCCACGCTTAATTAACATTTTAATGTTATTTTAATTAATTCATTTTAATCTTTGACGCGTTCTCTTTCTATTGATACCATCCACCGGTCTGAGAATTACTGCCTTGCTGCGTAAGGGCCTATAAAAGATCACGTTTTTAGGGGTATCTCTTCAACATGGGGCAGGAGCAATAAATAGAGCGCTCTAATTTTAGCTTATTTCCCTGGTATGTCACCAACTGAGACAGCTCCGACGACCGACGAGGGCAAGCTATTCCAATCGTTGACAACCCTCACACTGAACGACTGCCTTCTTGGTCGGCTTTCAGCTCTGGGCTTCTGGACTTTGCGCGAGTGGCCTCGGGTACGATCGTCAGTGGCAGTCGAAAAGAAATCCTCCGGAGACAGGTCGACCCCTCCATTGAACAGCTGGTACATCTGGATCATATCTCCACGTCGTCGACGGTAGGACAGTGTAGGCAGTTTTAGGGTTTGCAGTCGTACTTCATAGGGGAGGTGTCTAATCGAGGCCACCAGGCGTGTTGCTCTCCTTTGGACCTTTTCAATAAGGAGTTGATCCGCGCGGTTGAACGGACCCCATGCCACATTTCCGAACTCCAAGTGTGGGCGTACCAGGGTCTTGTACAGCAGTGGGAGTGTGAACTCGTCGATAAGCTCGAATGAACGCCTAATGACTGCCAGGATCTGGTTGGCCTTCGCCGCAGCAGTGGCAGCTTGCTTGCGAAATTTAAGCGAAGAGTCAATGTGGACACCAAGATCGCGTTCTGTTTCCACCGCCTCTAGTTCGACCCCTCTCATGGTGTACTTGATTCGAGGATTGTTCCGTCCTAGATGCAGGATCTTGCACTTCCCCTCGTTAAATGGGAGCTGCCATCGGTCAGACCATTCCACCAGGGCATCAATATCGCCTTGAAGTGTCGTTACGGCTGTCGGGTCTCGCGCCTGCTGCATAGGCGATGGTCGGGCAGAGTGGTATCTGACATCTCTGACATGAGAGACAGCCACCTCTCCCTCTTCATCGTCCTCAGGCAGGGCTCCAACCGTGTTCAGACGTCGCTCTTCAGGGGCGCGCTGGGTAAGTTGAGTGGAATGGTTCCTGCCAGCCCTTTGTTGGGCGACAGCCAGTTCCACAACCTCAGCGGCTACAGAGCTCGAGTCACTGTCATGAAGCGTTGACACGTCCCGATAGAGCTTTGTATCATCGGCGAACATTTTCACAGAACAGTCTACCACAGAGGGGATATCGTCGACAAACAACAGAAACAAGAGGGGTCCCAGGACCGAGCCTTGAGGAACTCCGCTTCTGACAGCCAATGAGTCTGAAAGGCTTCCGTTTACAACGACTTTTTGATTGCGTCCGGAAAGAAATGCCTCAATCCACTTGAGAAGTTTGCCGGATATCCCAGAACACCTCAACTTTTTCAGAAGTCGGTTGTGTGGGACAGAGTCAAATGCTTTTCGGAAATCTAAGTATGCCACGTCGACGGGATCACCCCGCTCGAGCATCTTGGTCCAGTCGTCCAGAACCTCCATGAGTTGAGAGCTGCAGGATCTACGGGGACGGAACCCGTGCTGGTGCTTGGACAGCTGGCCAGTGGAGGCGAGGAACTCCACGAGGGCGTCACGCACCAGAGACTCCATGATCTTGCATGGGATGGACGTCAAACTGATTGGTCGGTAGTTTTCTGGGGCACTCCTGCTACCCTTCTTGTGGATCGGAACCACTGCCGCAGATTTCCATATTGAAGGGACATGTCCTTGTTCCAGAGATTCAGCGAACAGTGATGACAGTGGGCCAGCCAGAGCCGCAGCACCAAGTTGTAGCAGCTTCGGGTGCAAGCCATCCGGGCCAGGGGCGGCATCTGTCTTCAGGTGAGCAAGTTTTAGCCGAACCGCTTCAGTTGTAATGGGAACAGTCTCGATTGGCTCGCCTGTGAATTGGTTGGTTGGCTCCGGAATGTGAGATCTGTCCTCGTCTGTAAAAACACTGCTGAAGAACGAGTTGAGTAATTGGGCCTTATCTCTGTCATCGCACACGATGCTCCCGGAGCCATCTACGAGATTGTCCAGTCCAGCCTTAGTCTTGAGTCTTGAATTTGAATAGCGCCAGAATACCTTTGGGTTGGTTTTGACGTTTTTGACCAGTTCCTCCTCGAAGTCCCTCCTCAGCTTCCTAGTCAAGGCCCGCAACTGGTTTCTACAGCGGGTAAATCTGCTGTAGTCTAGGATATCCTGGGTTTGAGAGTATACCGTCCAGAGTCTTTCTTTCTCCTTTTTGAGTCGTAGGGCTCGGCCATTGATGTAGATGTTCTTGCGGTTAGACTTCCTCTTGCTGGTCGGGAAGCATTCTTGTGCACTTGTTTTGATACAATCCGTGATAAACTGGTACTTTTCGTCGATCGTGAGGTTTGCCATTGGGTCCCAGTCAGTGTCGTGGAGCTTCTCAATGAACTCTGCTGCATTCCCTTTGAAATAGTTTGCGTGGGCTGCGGGAGCGATTTGCTGGTAAGTGTAACAACGCAGATCGAATCTCAGGATGACATGGTCACTTCTGCCAAGTCCAGCTTCGTGATGGATGTTTTGCACCATCCCATCCGCATCTGTCACAATGAGATCCAATAGGTGGGGAGTCTCACCTGGGCGGAAACGAGTTGGTTGGGTGACCTGCTGATTGAGAAAACAGTCATCCAGTGCCTCCAGGAACCTGTGTGAGATATCCAGGGGTGGAGCCGGGGAGAAGTTATTTTCCCAGTCAATTTGAGGCATATTGAAGTCTCCCGCAATTAGTAGATGTGAGTGACCTGATGAGTAGGCAGCATGTAGAAGATGACACAGTTCATCAGAAACATCTCTTGTATTTTGGGAGGGACTTCGGTAGATGCATCCAATAAGAAGCTTGTCATCGTTTGTCAAAGGTAGATACAACCATAGTTGTTCGATGTAAGTCGTTGAGCTGACAGTTATCTCTGAAGCTTGGAGGCAGGTCTTTACATATATGCCTACTCCTCGGCGACCACTGGATCCCAATTCAGGTTGAGAGGGATCGAAGTTTGTGTACAGAGTGTAGCCAGGAATGGAGATTACAGCCTTACTGATGGGAACTGATTGTGCTTTTGGAATTACCTCTGTGACTAGAATAAGATCCGGTTCATTGCCAGCTATTTTCATACAGAGCTCGTCTCTTTTGTTTGGGAGTTGATCTGCGTTTGTGTAGAGAACCTGCATGCTTGTCATCCTTTGCGCATTGCCCCTTCCATGTAGTCAATTTTCAGCAAAGATACTTTTCTGGGCTTCATGCCCAGGGGCTTGAGCAGGTGTAGCAGTGTGTCCTGCACCCTTAGCCAAATTGTCCAGCTGGGCAGACTGCCCATTGCCAGCATCAGTTCCCATGGGAGTCTGTCCACCATTGAATGAGTGGGCAGTTTGAGCAGAGCGGTCTCTGACAGCTCCTGCAGGAGCGACAGCCGGCTCTGCGGCCACAGTCCTACCAGCTTGGGTAGCAACTCCAGTCTGCCTCTTTTCATGTAGCTGAGCAGTCTGTGCAGAGCGGTTACTGGCAGTTCCCGCAGGAGCGACAGCCAGCTCCGCGGCCGCAGGTCCAGCGGAGTGGTCACTGACAGCTCCCGGGGCTGCAATGGCCAGCTCCGCAACTCCAGTCCCATTTGAGTGGTCACTGCCAGCCCCCGCGGGAGCGACAGCCACCTCTGCGGGCACACGTCCAGCAGAGTGGTCACTGACAGCTCCCACGGAGGCGACAGCCAGCTCCGGGGCCGCAGGTCCCTGGGCAGCTCCACTCTGTGACTGCTTTCTTCCTGCTTTGGCAACAGAGTTCAGGTTGACTATCTTACCGCTCCGGATGGCAATATTCGTCTCACGAGTACCTTTGCGTCTGTTCAGCTCATCTCTTAGTTTCTTGTTTGTTTCTCTTTCTTTTCTAGTCAGGTCTGGGGTCACATATATGTTCACGTACTTCTTTGAGTGCCTAAGCTGTGGAGCCAGCTTCAGGATATCATGCTTGGCAGAGGCCTCTTCTAAGGTGATTATAAGCAGTCTAGCCTTACTCTCCACTTTCTTTCCAACTCTGAAGGACTTCTGCACTTTCACATTCAACTTCATTTCATCTCTGATCATTGACCTGAAGAGTTCCGCATCATGTGCAGCTCGTTCAGCCTGAGAGTCAGAGGCTTGTTCGGGCAGGTTATGTACAACAAGGTTTTGTTTTCTTTTTTCCTTATCCATGTAGTCGTCTAGGGCACCTGTGAGTTCGTGAGCAGCAGTCCTGTTTGACCCAGCCATGCCAGTTTTGGGGAGCGCTGAGATTTGGTTGCTCACCTTTCTCACAACTTCGTCGCAAGAACCCTTCACCATGTCAGCATATGTCCTTTTGAAGGTCTCGTTCTCCTTCAAGGACTGATCCAGGATGAGGATGTTCTTCTCGTCTTGTGCTTTGAGCTCAGCAAGCTGCTTCTCAAGAGTTGCCTGCTTCTCCCTGAAGGAGTTTTGAACATCAGCAAGATGGTTGCGAAGGGACTCGCCCAAAGAATCTACCTTGTCAGCAAGAGATGCAAGAGTTACCTGCTGTTTTCTGTTTCTTTTCATTTCGTCTTTGCAGTGGGTACAGAGCCAGGCCAGCACTTTGTGTCTGTCGAGGGCTCGCAGGGCCAGTTTGGAGATACCCTGACATGAGGAATGGTACCAGCCGTGGCACCTGTCACACTGAACACCCGAATCATCAGCACGGACAGCCTCTCCGCATGCCTTTCCTGAATCCTGGTCCACCCTTGCATACAACCCCTTCGCTATCTGCACTAGTGTCGCTAGATGACCGAGAAATAGATACAGAGTTTTGCTCCCATTTTTCATAAACGCTATCGTCCAGCTTACCAATGATTTTGTGGGCTGATCCATCCATACCTTGAGCAGTTGACTGTTGGGGATCTAGTTGAGCCGTTTTTGCAGCATTCCCCTGATCCTGCGTTGCAGAACTCGAACATTCATGTCCGTTTTCGGTTTCAACCGCCGAACCACATGCAACCGCTTTAACTTGCGACAATCTCGGAGGGGGCGTTTGAATCGTTTGAATTTGAGATCCCGCATCAGCTGATTTCGACGTGGCAGCAGCCTTCTTTTTTCTTGTTGGTGGAGGCGAATGTTGAACCGGCATCATTAAACTACAAGAAAAGGATTAACGAGGAAAAATGCTAGCTGAGTCAGGGTGCCGATGAGGGTCGGGGTTGGAGCTCGATGAGACACGTCCGTTCCCGCCGAGAGCGCAACGCGGAATCCCATCCCGACTTGATGTTCTCTAAATTTAAATTATTTTGTATCATTTTATTGCTACATATATCAGAGAGGTCTAATTATCAGCTGTAACATATGTTAGCATATTTTTTCTTGATTTTTGAAATATTTGTGGAATGTGGTGGAAAATGAAATATTTTACAAGCAGGGCTGCAGAGTTAGGGTCGGAGTGGAGTTAAAGTCAATTGGAGTCGATAGTTCTGGCGGAGTTGGAGTCATCAAAATCTTACTGACTCTGACTCCGGAGTTCAAGTTAACAAAGCGTGGCTCAACGTCATACATTGCACCTGTTTGATTGATGGTACTGCGCTCAACATCATATTTTGAAGAAAAAAGGCCATTTTGCAAGAAGCTAAAGACGGTGATTTCCCCAGAGTCTGCTTTTTAATTCTGCATGCTATTTTTAATGCATATTTACAACACAAAGTCTTGGAATGTACAAGGGATTGTTTCAGGCAAGATACAAACATAACATCTGTATTATGAATTTCAATATCATATGGATTTTGATAGTCAGAGTCAGAGTCTGAGTCGATTTTGGAAACCGGAGTCTGTGTCCAACTCCTCAGTCGGAATCACCCTAAAATCCATCGACTCTGCAACACAAAGCCTTGGAATGCACAATGATCGTTTCAGGCAAGATAAAAACATCTATTATGAATTTAAATATCATATGGATTTTGATAGGTAGATTGTCAGAGTTGGAGTCAGAGTCTGAGTCGATTTTGGAAACCGGAGTCCGAGTTGATTTTGGAAACTGGAGTCCGAGTTGAGTCAGAGTCACCCTAAAATCCATTGACTCTGCACCTGCAGCCCTGATTACAGGTGAACTGTAACTGGTACCTGCTTAGGTGCCCATATAATTTATCGGAACTTTACCTTGACCTAGGCAACTCTGACATGTCAGATATGGGCCGGTGTAAACGGAATGCCATCGGAACAGGGGCTTAGGTCGATATGGCTCTATTCCAGTTAGCCAGTCTTTGCCGTAGCGCTCCGGAGTTGGTAGGTCTCGGACCGCCAAGTTCGGCTCAAGTCCGGCTCCCTGCCACGGCGTGCTACGGCCGGGTCCGGCTGCCTTGTAGCTGTTCTTGCATACTGTGGCTGAAGTACGGTTGAGGAAGGTACGGTACAGCTGAGTGGCGCGGTTGAACTTCAATCGTGTCAGCTCCAGTAGGCAGTTGAGCCCCAGACCTTGTCCGTATTTCGGCCACAGCAAAGTACCGGAGCTAGCCAGAGTAGGGCCAGATACGGGACTGCAGCTGACACACGATCCCCAGAGCTCGTCCGCACTATTGCCGGACTTGTGCCGCATCAGCCGTGCCGTACCTCAACCGTACTTCAGCCATAGTAAGCCATCCCAGCCAGCAAATTTGGTCTGGGCCATAGCTGGTTTTACTCTGGCCAGCTCATGCATTTGCTCCGGCCAGAGTACGAGCGAGGTCTGGGGCTCTACTGGAGCTGACACACGACCCCAGAGCTCGCCCGCTCCACAGCCGCTTCTCAACGGAAGTCGTATCAGCCGTGCCGTTGCAATCGTACTTCAGCCACAGTAAGCCAGAGCAGCTACGATGCAGCCGGACCTGGCCGTAGGGAGCCGGACTTCAGCCGTGGCAGGGAGCCGGATTGGGCCAGACTTGGCGGTCCGAAAGCATAGCAACTCGGGAGCGCTACGGCAAAGGCTGACCAACTGGAATAGGGCCATATCAACCCAAACCCCGGCTCTGACAGCGTTCCTTTAGACCGGCCCAACTCTGGCATGTCGGTTAAACCAAATTGCCAAACCAAATTGCTGGCTGGGATAGAGCAGGTGCGATGCAGCCGGACCTGGCCGTAGCATGCAGTGGTAGGGAGCCGGACTTGGTCCGAAACGATATCAACTCCGGAGCGCTACGGCAAAGACTGACAATGCCTCACTTGTATTTTCACTACCTCTGTCGTAGTAGATAATGACATAAAACTTCAAATTGCACCAGCTAAGTGCCCGAAGTTGTCATGCTTTGCAGTCTGGTCCTTATCAACTTAACTTCAATAGGTAATAAGTTGTATTCTGTGTTCCAGAGATGGCTGCTCAACTGCTGAGAACAGCATTAAGTCGCCAATGCTTGCAGCTTCAAAATGAGATTCGTTTGACAGGTAAGGATAGTGATGGTGATTTATTTTCAAATGGTTCCTTATAGTACCGAAGTTATCACAAAAACTGTGAAACTTTAAGAGTTTTGTCATGTGTTGTCAGTGGATAAAACATACGTCTCGTAGCTCGTTGTCCACGAGTTCGTGGCTGGGGAGTTCCAAGTGTTGGACCCCGTTCCTATATTCAGCTAAATTCGCCGACAAAAGTACGCATAGCAAAGGTATGTGGGACCATAAACCTCTGTACACCTGGACTGAGCGCAGAAATTTCGGCCATGACTATAGTGGCCCTAACTTTCAGATGTTATATCTCGAGATCAGTAACACCGAGATAGGTCCAGTCTTCACTGTTTGATGGCCCCGTGCATTAAAAATTGAATGCAATGTCTCCGGGAGATATCGGCTGGCACAGAGGAGGGTGTGCGCGTGGCGCGTGAGGGGTGTTTACAAAGTTGGTCTAATGATATCTCCAGAACCGCGTCACTGATTGAGCTCAAATTTGGTATGTGACCAGATACAATACATCCGACACTATCACATTTCTTAAATAGGTGGTGGTGGTGCACGTGCGCACGTGCGCACGTGCGCACCCCTTCTTTATATCTCAGTAACCACTGGCCCGATTGAGCTCAAATTTGGTATGTGCCCAGATGACATACATTAGCCACTGGTGCATAAGTAGGAGGGCAAATATTCGCGCGTAAAAGCACGTAGGCGATGAAGGACGTAAGGACAGAAGTACGTATCGGTAAAAAAATTAACTTGCCCAACTCAAAAAGGCCAACTTGATCTGACCTGACATTACTTACATAACCCGTCCTAATCCAACCTAACTTACACTTTTGCCCATACGTCTTTATACATTACGTACATTAGCGATACGCGCTTTTGTCCTACGTAGGTACCTACATTTGCTGACGTACATTTCCCATATGGACATTGTCGATGCGTACTTCTTTTGTCAGCAACCCGTGGTGGATCCATGGTGTCATTCGCAACAAGCTGACTGGCCTTCCAAGTCAGGTCAATGACCTAATAGTCGGGCAGATCGTGGCCTGCTAGAACATCTTAAACTTGCTTTTACGTTTTTTTTTCCGGGGCTCTGATTCCGAAGTTCGTAAAAGATTTGATCAAAGACGATGTTTTCATGCATTTGTGGTAGGTCGTGTCAGGTCAGGCCAACCAATAGGAGTCCTGCCGGCTCTCCGTAGTGGGTGTAAACCACCACTGATAGTTTCGTAACATGTTTCGTAGACACGAAATTACTTCTCAAATGTTCAATGAACACCCCTTCCCCGCCCCTTCTAACTTGGCTACTTGGTCACGGAGTGACACGCGGTAGGCATCGTTCGAAAGAGTATCAAAAGTCGTGAAGAAATTGCCTCGGTGCTGCGTTCCTAACCACTCACAAATGCGATTAATTATGCGCTTTTTTAAATGAGCGGAGTAGAAACGTTAGTGTAACAGTGCAACACTTAACAAAATAATAAGGCATGCTGCTGCAAGTCACAACATACGTATAAACATAATTTAGAATATCAGTTCTTATGTCAATGTCTTCCCTGGTACCCTTCATATTCTAATTCATTCGTTTATTTAACTCTCACTCAGCTGCAGCTACCGCAATGAGTTCTGACATGTCATGTTCCAGCTGCCCGTGCCCTTAGTGTTTCGGCGCAAGCAAAGCAAGAAACACCCAAGGATGGAGTGACATGTGGCCGAAGTGCTACCAATAACCCGGTGAAAGCGAAAACGCCCATAGGTAAGAAAATATAGCAAGACTTGTCATGCACGTAATTTGTATGATTCAGGTAGGCGGTAGCACCTCCCTTCCCCACTAACTCATTGCGTTTAGTTGCGTTTAGTTTGGGGGTTCTAAGTTTCTCAGTGCTTGTGCGAGGATCATTTTAGAGCATTTTAATTAGTGACCTTACCCTCGTAGTTAAAAAAGTTAAGTTCAAACACTTGTTCCTTAATAATTTCTAGCACAGCTCTTCATCAGAATACAAAGCTAAAAATGTCACGATAAAATCCAATCTTTGATCCAATCTTTGAATCTTTGGCTGTCAAAGATTGGATTTTTATCGTGACATTTTATATTTGTATTCTGATGAAGAGCTGTGCTCGAAATTATTAAGAAACAAGTGTTTGGACTTAACTTTTTTTAAACTACGAGGGTAAGGTCACTAATAAAAAATGCTCTAGTTTTGGGGTTGTTTATCTGTAGCGGCGATTGCTATAGCCTACATTGCTTACTTACTTAGTCCACAAAGTGTAGACCACATGGAGATCGTTAAGTGCTTGCTTGGGATGTCGCGTTCAGCAGCTTACCATTAATTTTTTTTTCGTGATCTGTCTGTCATTCTGTCAAGCTTTGTTATATTGGTAGCGATTTTTGAGAAGTGAGATACATGGGTCAGCTTTGCCACCCCCTCCGCCATCCGGTGTCTCCCGCCGCAGCCCACAGCACCCCTCCCCCCTCGCGGACAGGTCGACTGGACGAGCCAGAAGAGGGCGCTCGCCACCCGTACCAGGAGAAGGAGCCGCTGCCAGAGTTCCCGGACGGTGTGAACCCGAGCACGGGTGAAATCGGCGGCCCGCGCGGCCCCGAGCCCACCCGCTACGGAGACTGGGAGCGCAAGGGACGCGTCACAGACTTCTGAGCATAGATCTCTGACAGAAACATAGACTTCTCAGAGGCCCAGTGTCGGGTGGTCCCTGGTACAGAGTTGAGCGATCGTACAGCGGATGGTGCCACTTTGATATGCGTAGGCTGGTTGAAGAACTCCGGATGTCATTGAATGATCTGCGGGCTCTGCGAGCTGCTTGCGCCGGTTGTGAGATCATGAAGCGCCTGTTTGAGATGTAGGGTGCTCGTGAATGTGGATTGTGTGCCAGTCGTTCCCAAGCTTTAGTGGTTTTCTGACAGGATTCATGCATACGTTATGCTCACCTTAGCTTGTTAGCCAGCAATGTCCCAAAATTTGTCGATTTGGGTGGGAAACGACATCCAAATGAAATTCATTTTCCCACTCACACCACCAATTTTTAAGAACAATTTTCCACTCCCACAAAAAACTAGATTTTTTACCTATAGAAAGAGCAGTTGGGCGGATGCCCAGATCAGCATCAAGCATCCTACATTTTTCACTTGTTGGATCTAATCGAATCAGCAGTTTTTCACTCTCTCCCCTCTTTTTGGTAGGTAATTTCCCCTCTGACACCCAAGACAAAACTCAATTTTGGGACACTGTTAGCCAGGAGATATATAGCACTAGAAAGACAAGAGGCTGCAGTTTTTTTTTCAAACGACTGATATTCTACTGTGACTCGTAGTCAATTATGCTGAATGGTAGTGCAATACTGTGCAAATACATGTCTTGTTCTTCATCAGCGTTGTCATGAGATGTCGAAAAACAGTTATTGACAGGAACTTTCACCTAATTCATAAAGCAATGATCAATGGATGGAATATTGCGGCTGCAAGTCCTGTAATATTCTCAGATTCGTCAGAAGCTCATACATGTATTGCGCAGTACATTCACACATTACATTGTCATCAGATGAAGTTGCATGCCATCAGACAGATTGTACAAAAAGTACCCCCTTCTGAATCGAACTCAACCGTGCTGTGAGAAGATAACTAATAGTCGCATGAAAAATTCCTTCTAACGAAGGGTAGAGCTGCAAATAAATTGCAAATGTAGTAGAACACCACGGTATAACAGCCGAAGAACAAGGCTTCCAGCAGTTACGTGCGTCGTACATTCCACGCTCGCTAACTTCTTCCTGCTCTACGATTATGCTTCTCTATGGATGCTTGGAAAAATTGATGTGCCCTTTGTCTAAACTGGATATTTTCAGGCATGGATCCCTAAGCTGTCTACACTCTACACATGGTATGATACATGGTTCTATTTGTTTCTTCTATTGATTATATGGACAATAGCAAAATAGACTAAGTCTGGCTAGCTACGATAACAATGAGCCATTTACCTCTTCAAGCCATGCATCCAATGTGGAGAGTATTTATAACGCTTGCTACCGGCCACAGGGCGAGCGTTTTTCGCTTTCTGACTCTCTTCCTTTCCGATCACGAAAGCGACGTACCTGTCTGTAGTGAAAGCCGCTGCATACTAATGCATAAATGTCTGATGAACTTATGTATGGTCGTCACAAATACATGTGGAATTAAGACTGTAAAGCTAAAAATTAAGATGCTTCTGGGGACGAAAAGCGTTTGCCCTGTAGCCAGTGGTCGTCCGCACTAAAGTGTCGGATTGAAACACGGTGTTAACCGTGACAGCGATGAGAAATCCTAGTTCAGAATGTCATCGATACTCCTAGAGTTGGAGCATTGGGTTGGACATAACACAGAGCACAGTTTTCATGTTTCAACACACTCGACACAGCACGTGATACACCGGATCATTGGACGGCACCCCAGCAGGGCGATATTCCCACGGTCGTGCTATTCGGGGACAACTGGCTGTAAGACGACGCCTGGACGAGCTTGGCCACGGGCTTCACACTCTCCCGTGTACTGAATAGCTCGAATATGAACCGGCCCTCTTACAATCGATAGAAGATGAAGAACACGTTACAAATCAGCAGATCCACCTCCCTCGTCTACCACCACTGCCGGTTGGACTTATCCTCTCTTGGTCTCCCACCTTTCCTCTCCTCACTCTCTTTCTCTCTATCTCCCTCCTATCGTTCTATTCCCCCTCCCCCTCCCCGTGCCGCACAGGCCGTCCCCCACGCCTCTCACAGCTTGGTGTCCATCGAGTCGGTGGCGTACGCCCGGTTCTCCTCCCCGGTGGGTTTCTCAGTCATTGCCGCCGCCTGACCCTCCAGCTTCCTGCAGTGGGGACGGATACACTGGTTAGGTCAAGTCACGTTACTGGCGTGCAAAAGCAAAAACTATTATGTTGAGCCTCTGCCCCAACACGACCTGACCCAACATAGTAGTTTCTGCCTTTGCACGGCAGGACTTAAGTCACGGGGCCATATCCCGAAAGATCAACATGGGTATTTTGTTTCGAGTGACCTCGAGGAGAGTGTCGATTATCAGGAAGAGAAAACCAAAAAGATATTCCTCAGGTATTTGGGTATCGCATGTCGATCTCGTCACTCACGTTCCGAAGACCTCTCCCTGTTCGATGGTGTCCGGCAGCGCCTTGCCCTTGGTCTCGGGTAGCAGCAGGGCCAGCAGGCCGGCCAGGATGGACGTGATGCCGAACAGGATCACCGGCAGGTACCGGTACGCCTGGGCGCCCTGTGATCGCGAGTACCGAGTATCCGTCATCTATCCACTCAGACTCAACCACATACCATCAGACAATGGAGTATCAGTACCGGCCTACGGATTATCAATCACCCATTTATCCATCAATGCAGTACCGCCTACGGTCAGCGGCGTGAAACAGCGAGTCGGTTTTAATCACAAATCGGCAGGTTGACGCCTCTTCAATATGTGATCTCAATCGGAGATCGCAAATATGCAATATGAAATTATGAACACGGAAGAATGACGATCAAACGATTCTTCTTTACGGGAGCTCTTTCCTGCACGTACTCCATCTCAAATGAAGACTATAGCACGGCTACTCATACGCATTCACTTGTCGTTCCATATATACACTTTTCTACTGAGTTCGCCATGACGATGCATTTCTATCAGATAACGCCACCACCTCTGGCCTCCGTGTACTCACGTAGGTGCCCACGTAGGGCGCCACGATGCTGCCGATGCGGGCGCACATGGACGAGCTGCCGACGCCCGTCGTTCGCAGCACGGTGGGGAACACCTCGGCAGAGTAGACGTACACGATGGCGAACGAGGCAGAGATGCAGAACTTGCCGATCATGGCGCACGTGACGATCGGCCAGTCCAACGTGTAGACGTCTGTGGGCGGAAAGGGACGGGGTGTGGAGGCGACGAGACAGGCTAGACACGGTCGGCAGTGGGATCCTTCCAGCGTGCTCGCTGTACTTAGATAACTGGGTGTACAAGAGTACGCTTGGACACTTAAAAAGTCACGGACAGGGAGCAGCAATGATATCCAATCGCTTCTGTTCCTGCAGCCCTTCCTTCACGTCACCCAACTCAACCACAAGTCATCCCCGATGGCCTATTAACATTCCCGCCCGACTCACCCTTCTCGAAGATCATGGTGCAGAGGCACGCCACGCCGCCGATGACCATGCTGATGCAGAGCGGCAGCCGGCGGCCCGTTTTCAGCAGCGCCAACGTACTGAGAGCGTAGGCCGGAATCTCCACCGCGCCGCCAATGAAGATGTTGACGAACAGGTCGCCGCCCAGGTTACCCGAGTTGAGCGACAGGCCGTAGTAGACGAAGCTGTTGACGAACCAGTTGTAGTAGAAGTTGAGCGTGCGTATGCGCAGGTTGGGCGTCCGGAACAGGTCAAGGATGGTCACTTTTTCGTCCTCGTCTTCGGTCGCCCCCTGTAAAAGAAGGATTTGGTCAACGACCGCTTCACAGAATCCAGCCAGATTAAGAAATTAAGAAATGCCGAATCGAGCTTCGCTGAATCGTGAATCGTAAAACTGTTTGTCATTACAAAACTGATGAAATTTTCATCAATAGTGGCTGCAGCGATGCATAGTGCGGCGGCAGTGTTATATCACCGCCAGGCAAATGCTCGCCAATCTGGTTTTCGAGGGCGAGTGTCGGACCTACCTCATCCACCACTTTCATAGTGGACTTGTAGGGCCGTCCGTTCTTTCGGCAGATTTTCTCGATGATCTCTCGGGCCTCCTCCTCTCTGCCCTGAGTCAGAAGCCACCGCGGGGACTCTGGGATGACGCTGCGTGGAAAGAGAACGTATCGTGGTTTAGAAGAACGAAGCCAAACTTGAAGTTCGCAGCGCAATTCTGATTTCTGACGAGGTAAAAAGCTGAAGGATCTTTGGCGCTCGGCGGTCTTGGCCACTTACTGAATGTGTCGCTTTTTTGGTGGAGGTTGGGATGGAGGTCGGTGACGCGGAAATATCAACGGGCAGTTCTCAACGTGTTTAAGTGTGATTATCGAGACGTGAATTAGCAAGATGAGTTGAATAAAGATTGGATATATTGGAATATATTATGAAACGTAAATGAAGAAAGGGTGCCGTCGGACTGCTGGCCCTCAGGTCGATGATTGAATTTGCTAAACAGTAAACGTGACTACCTAAATATGGATACGAAATACCTAAGAAGCATAGCCTACATATTGGGCAAATCAACCGGCAGCTGCCAACTGAAATATAATCGGTCACGTTAATCTATAAAGATCTTGATCGCGGAACACAATCAATGAAGCATTCAGTATTCAGGTGAACAACGAATAACGATATAAAGCCTTGAAGAAGGCTTATAAAGCCTACATCATTCCGTCTCGCGAGTCACCTACCTACTCTACCAACCGATCGCCTTTGTCAGATGACGGCTTACGCAGACGGAGTAACAGCAGCTGACACCTCTACCAGGCGTAGTTAACAGGTGCACACATGAACTGACACATCCCACCTCCTCGCATACCGGGTGAAGAGTCGTACCTACCAGACGCACACAGCAGTCACACCCCCACTCACAAGTAGAAGGAGAAGAACACGACGGCCGGCAGGACGACGCACAGCTGCAGCTGCATCCACGGCTTCAGCACGTAGGCGATGCCGGCCAAAGACATGAAGCCGATGGCGAAGGTGTACTCGTAGGAGATGCCGAGAATGGCGCGCCACGGTCCGCCCACAGACTCCAGAGCTGCCGCACGGGACGGAGCGGGGTCAGCGGCGAGGCAAGGGTGGGTCTACTCTATTCGTACTTTTGCTCATCCTATTATATAAAATGAGGGCCTTGACGTACCCAAATAAGCATATTCAAAATGTAAATGATATATAAAAACCAGAGAGCAAAACCGTCCACTCATTGATGACAAAGCGAGCCTAGACGGACGGTGGGTGCTGCACGTTATATCGTTTCGATAAAGAAAGTATCATTCCCGATGTCACCACAGATGAAAATGATTTATCCATGTTCATAGCCCTTAGCTTTTACGGGTCTCTGCGCTACACTAGTGTAAAAAGAGCATGCATACAAGAGGTCATCTTTCGCTCGACACACGCCGTTTGCTGGCTCCCTCCTGGCCTGAATCGTACCGGTTTGTACCGGGGATCTGCACGTACCATATACGAAGCCTGTGGTGAAGAGGGCCATCATGTTCAGCGCCACGAAGAAGCGCAGCACCATGAAGGTGAAGATGTCGGTGGAGAAGGCGGCGGCGATACCGAAGATGAGGAAAAGCGCCGTGCCATAGAGAAGGACGCGCCGCCGGCCGAACCTGGAAGAGCGCGAGGTGAGGAGAGAACGAACGGCAGCGTCAGAGGAC